GACACAGAAGGAGTTTGAACTGCCTGGGCTCCACTGTATATATACATGTATGTAACATCTGGCTCATTACCGCTTTCTAGCATGCCCAGTATGTCCATAGCCAGAGTGCAGCGCATGCTTGCTACCGGTACGCACCACCTGTTTTGCAACCATAAGCCCCCTTTGTACCCCATGATCATCGCCGCAAGTTTTTGTTGGTAATCTGCATCCCTAAAACGTTGTGAACTGCAGTATAGGAAATATTCATGCCATCGTTGGTGCTTGATATGATCTGACAACAACATCGAATTTAGTGCTTGTGCAGTTGCTTTTATTAGGCTGTGTACCCAAAGTGTTCATGTGCAGTTGTTACCCTTATCGAACACTTTCTTCTTGATTTCTTTTAGGAATAAATAGCAAAGCTGTTTGTAAGATTTTGAGTTTTATTTGAATCATTTTTGTCATGGAATTTACACAAAAAGGTACATTGTATTTTATAAGATCTCCTGATCACTCCCTGTGATGAAACAGCGCATTTTGTTTTTCGTGAACTTGACTGTCCTGTGGTGTTCAACATGTTGTTGGCTAGTCTTAGACAAACTCGTACAAAGACTTTAAAAACTGATGTTTTGGAGTGACAAAATAAAATTACAAACATATGCATGGATAATGGAGAAGGCATCAAAATCCTTAAAAATTTTTCATAACAACAAAAGTAAATCTAATGCTACATGTAGATATTTTCTCTTTCTGTCTCCAGGTCACTGCGATAGGTTGTAGTTAATTCCAAAGAAAACACCACAAATATTGTTACGATATTACTGGCCCCACTTGTCCAGCTAAGCTGCAGGCAGTAATCAGGCATTTTTGGAATGTTTACTATTGTTCGTCTGACCGGGCGGTGATGATCATTGAGTACTTTGATGTGCCAGAGTTGTAACTCCTTCTGTGTCCTTCCTCCATGATTTGATGTTACCACCTTTTCAGCATCCGGGGCGTGCCACCCATGCCTTGACTATGGTGAGCACTGGCCTTGACAACTGGCTCTGGTGCTAAGACCACTGCTGCCTTGATGGTTTGCATAGATTCAGGGCAGACTTCAGTGGACACATGTGTACACATTTACATACATGAGCAGTTCACATGAATGAATTGGCCAGGTACTTTTGTTGTACCTTGTACCTGTCTGTGAGCCTATTTTAGAGTGGGTCACAGGGGTTTAAAGTCAGCTGTTTGAGGGATTGTTTGTCTGACCTCGTCACAAGGGTCAGATATGGTTCACCTACTTTTTTTTAGGAGAGCAAAGTTGCTGGTGGGAAATCATATTCAAGTAGTGTATAAACTGAGGGCATGTTCTCGGTTGTCGTTGAAGTTTAGGGATTGGGATCCTCACTTCGGCCATAGTGCTCTTTTCTGTGTTGTTCAGTCTCTGGCACTATTTTGCATAAAATTTAAGTCATTTTTTGCTTTGTTTGGGTGGGTGGTTTGGAGCTGGGAAAGGTTGTCTGACTCTAGTATCGGTACATGTGCTATGTACAGTCTACATGTTATCCCATCATCAGATGTTTAAGTTTGATCTGCATGGTAAATGACAGGGTTGGGGCTGACAAATGTTACAAAGTGGTCAAAGATCAGCTAACTGCATTTTTTTTAATCCAGTTTTTAGCAATGATAGCGAATGGTAGCTGAAAGTTTCAACTCATGAATCATACTGGGAAATATATGGGAATAGCTCCCTTTTTACCATAACTCGGATGGTGAAAGATGTCATACTCGGTGAATTGTTTGCTTCCTTGGGGTGTAGTCATACTCAGGGTCAAGAAAGTTTCTCTTAAAATAACATTATCGTGCATATAAATAAACAAACAGTAGTATGGTACACATGGCCAGACATATGACTTGGCCTACATGTACATGTACATGTAGATACCTGTTGTTTACTCCCGTATAAGAGGGAGATTACTTAGTGCACATTGCCAAATATGGTATAAAAGAAAGGGCCCATGGTTATAAATGCAAATTCTTGAAATAAAATGTCTGACCAACGAGACGTGTCGCCTCTGCATCGGGACCTGGGGTTGCAGCAGCAACTGCGTTGTTCTAGCCACTCTGTCGTGGCCATTCATAACATACAGAGCCCTGTGTTAATTTCTCTGGATTGCTTTGTCCACCACCGTAAGTTTTGATGTGGTTTGATCGTTGGAGATCTTACTTTATAGGGGTTGAAATTAACCTTTTTCTCCCAGTAGTCAGCATGACCAGTGCTTCAAAATTTCCACTGGTCCTGCTGACAGTCTGGTGGTCCTACCAGAACCGGACAAAATTCTGTAAACTGTGGCTGCAAATGTCCACGTTTGTTGTGATACATGTACGTGTAAGCAGGGGTCAAATAAAAATCGCCGTCTTCTTCCTCATCTGTGACTTTTTCTGTGTCCTTTCCAGGGTGCTGATATGGATGCAAGCGGATCGAATCCAATGTAAAATTGGTTGAGCCCTAGACGAGCGACGACTTACCATCAGCTGCTGAATTCGCACATGCAGCCGCATTGAGCAATCCTTGTTAGGGCACTTACATGTTGATATACCAGATAACTTCTTGCAGTCAAGACTAGGGGCGTTTGGATTAGGCTTAGACTTCTGTTTCGCTGGTTCCCGTCAGGTCTGGAACATGTGGTTTTCAAAATTGCTTTCAAAATGGATGGGACCAGTGAAATCAAAGTCTAGAGCGTTTTGGAAATGAGTGGATTCGGCTTAGACTTTGGTTTTGCTGGTTCCAGCCATTTCGAAACAGTGTTCAAAACCACATGTTCAAGTTCTGACTTGAACTAGTGTTGAAACTCTGACTGGAACCAGCAAAACTGAAGTCTAATAAATGCCCTTGGTTTACCCAGCAAACGATGCACACATGTGGGAAACTACAATTTGGATCGTTCTTATGTTGCATTGTCAGGTACACGCAGCACGCAAAAATATAACCTCATCCACCACGCTACTAATTTGGGTAATATGTACACAGATCTTTTTTTGAGTTCTTCAATATTTTATTAAATTCGTCGAGTACATTTTGTACCAGCCCAATGGACCACCAGTTTTATTAGATCAGCTGGTCTGCCGACTTTTCTGCTGACCTCGGGCCAACAGACCACCATTAATTTTGACCCCCGCTTTAGCGTCATAATGCTAACATGTCTGTTATTGGTTAAGCAGTATCGTAAGTTCCTTTCAGCCAGCCACCAGTGTTGCTATCAGATGCTGGTATTAATTAATACATGTACATGTATGTTGTAAGGTCTTTCTTGTGAAATATAAATTTCAATAGTAGTCAGTATCTATTCTTCAGTCTCCTCTTCATTGCCTTGTTTATTTATTTCTACTTTATACTGGGCGGCCCATAATCATCCTGTAATTGGTGCTGCATACATTGTTAGATGAGTAGAAATAAATTAAAATAATACCAATAACCTGTTCACCCTATGAAAAAAAATATGTACAAGTACCCTTAAGGTAGAGAATTGTATACATGTAGCTGTCGTGTCATTGGGCTTGCAATTCAACTACTCTTTAAATCTTGTATTTAACCCTCAAAACAGGTGAAGCTGCTTCTTGCAAACAATCACGCTAAAGTTCTCGGCCCTGAAAATGGTCTCTAATATATACCAGTAGTGGTGCACTGACAGTATTGGATAGCATGACCACCAAGTCCATGGGTCAAGTGGGAGGTTTCATCTGCCCTAACATTCCCCTTCCCTACAGTGATGTACCATTGAGGAGTGTGTGATGGATTCCTTGCACAGTACTAGTACTGTAGAGCAGTCTAGAAGATTCAAACAAGTTCCTCCAGGAAAAAAAATGCCTGGAAAGTATTACTTGCTTCAGAGAGGCATGCAAGGAGACATGAAATGCACATACATGTATGTGTAGCGCCATATAAAGTTTGATGTTGCTTCCACAACTGATGTAAAGTTAACAGGAATCATGATTCCATGGGGCTGTACTGGAACTTGTGCATCATTATGTTAACAGTTTTTTCAGCTTCCAAGGTAAACATGATGTATGGACTTACTGTACATGCTGGAGTGGCCACTGGCCACACATCAATGCTTTTAGAATGCAATTAAATAAGCAGTTACTGGTGCATGTAGCTTTGTTGAAGGAAGTTTATGGTCTGGCAAGATTCAGCAAATGTTATCCATCTGTGAATCTCTGTTCATACAAAAGATAACATCTGGACTCCACATGTGCAGACGTATACATTAATTTGCTCAGTCTAAACGTTGGGCACATTTTCCCTTTAATAATTCAAGTTATCGCAAAATCTGATTGGCAGCTGATGAGATTACAAGTGCCTTACATGTACAATAAGTTGGCACGAGAGATACATATTAATGCAGTGTGGCATTTACATGTATCTTTTGCCCAAGACTTGTTTGTATTGAAATATTTGGGTTTTGGGTGAAACATGCTTAACTGAAATGGATGTATACATTGAAGTGGTGTACATGGGTACACGTACCGGTATTTATGGGGGAATTGAGCATGCGTGTACCGGTACACAGTGAGCATGGACCATGTACATGTATACGCACAATAATGAACCATTAATTTTGAATGGTACGGGTTTAGAAATACCAAATACCAAAAGGTGTGGAAGTTTTGTACCAGTACAATAGGCACCCCAAGTGTGAGGGTCAGTTCATGCAAGATTGAAGGGTACGTGTAATTGGATTGGATAATTTCCAAAAAAAATAGTGAGACTAATTTCACTGTGACATTTAATGTGACGCTGACAAGTTCATTATGACCATTTTAAAAGTTGCAGGAAATACTGGTTGAGATACAGGTATTTATGAACTGACATCTAAAAGAAGCAATTCCTGCATTTTATCGTAGTCACATTCGACAGTTCAAGGAAACTGTTTCTTTATCATAATAATCTGGCTTTGTGTACTGTGCACATGTGCATGTATGTTCACATGGATGTTGTGATTGATGGGTTTGGAGCTGTGCATGTGGATTAATTAACAATCAATACATACATGTACATGTACCCACATGTACCGATACATAGGTCGGATGTGGCAAATATTGATTGTGATGAAGTTGTGGTGTGTCACCTGAGATGGAATGGTCAGAGCACCAACCACTGACAAACACACTCACAGATGGCACCACTCGCAGGCAGGCATATCCAAAGTGCGCATGGCAAGCAGCTGTGCCTTAAAGTCCAATGAATGCTCTCTCTGTACAAAGATGAGTCATGACTGCATGCAGGACTGGATGCGCCTTGTTGAAATGTGCAGAAACCAGTATTGAAAGTCGGTGGTCTTCATTGCTGGGTGTAATTACCCTTTTGTTTTTCTAAACACTTCAAAGAGTTGCCTTTGATTTTCTTCTATCTCACATGTCATTTTCCATTTCTTGCCCATGTTTTCAGTTTCATTTCCTCCTAAGCCAGTGCTGGGCATTGTACTCAGTACTTGTGTACAAATTCATTTTGAATCTCTTTGGAAATTTTCTTTTGTTGCAGATCTACATGTAATTTCACACACAAATAACTTTAAATGACTTTGCTCTACTGTTAGTCCATCTTTGTGACTCCATTGTAAAAATACAGTACATGTGTACGTAAGTATCTGATTAATTTTGTCTACCTGCTGTCTTCCAGCAGTAATGTAGTTGCTGAGATTTTTGCTGATTTTGATTTTCGTTTTTTTTGGTAAACCATTAGAATTCTTTTTTCTCCCAAACAGGCTTTTCTGCATTCAAGAGCAGCTGTCACCCAGCCAGACACACTAATTCATTTCTGACAAGGGTGGTCCGTGAAGGACCCTACCATCTCTGACGAACAAGATGGCGCGGGAGAACGGACACTCCAAGACCATCTTGGATGACATGGTGGGGGTGGGAGACTGCGTGCTCCTGGACCCCCTGACGGAGGACGCCTTCGTCGAGAACCTCAAGCTTCGCTTTGATGCCGATGATATATACGTGAGTATTGTTACAAGAGAGGTGTTGCACGTGAAAAGTTGTGTGTGCATATTTTGCTGGCTGTATTCATTTTTGTTCATTTTGTTGTTTCACTTCAGTGTGGATACGCTCACACAGCCCCCAGGCATTTCAATAGAGCAGCCTCCAGTGAAACTTCATGGACGTGGCTAATTTTGCCATAAAATAAGATACAAATTCAAATATGCTAGAGGCCACATCTTATGATGAGCACTTACCAGTATGTCTGTTTTGTTTGCCATTAGTGCCTGCAGATCTAGGATGGGACTTCCATTTTCTCCATGCCTAAGCTGTTATGGTGAATGGGCTGAAAAGCAGTAAAAATACCAATTTATCAACCTTCTTAGATCTTCAGATCCAGCAATTTCATGAAAAAGAAATTTACTTGTAAATACAATATGTATGAAACTGATCATTCCCAAAATGTATGTACTAACCTCTGCACATTCCCACCAGACATGCCTGTACAACACATTGTTGGATGTCAGTCTAGCATACAAGTCTGATTGTGATTGTCAGTGTATAATCAAATTTGCATGAAAGAAATACTGTACATGTAACCCAGCCTGGGGCTTTCAAACCACTCTACATCTTCCTGGAACATGGTGGCACTACATGTACGTACTGTATGTGTGTTGCACTGGTTCTATACATGTAGCTCTCTGATGACTAAGAGTAAACTAACTTGATATCACAATATGATTATGGCTGTCTCCCGAGTCCTGGTTTTCCATATATAACAGCTTTCACATGTGGACAGCTCCATTAAGTTTGACTGCTGGAGAAGAAGATCACGCGTCACACACAAACACGCTGAAACTCCAATCAATTAAGGCACTGATTCAATCAATCATTATTTCTTTATCAAAGTCATCGTGCTTGCTTTGCCATTATGATGCTGTGCAGTGGTGATGATCTTTTCGATTTTGCAAAACCTTTTAAAGGCTCCGTTGAGCATGGGAAATGGTGTGATTTTCAGTGAAGTTCTGCACTTGTAATTCCAGCGAATTCTGTTGCGAATGTTTCATGATGTCAGTTTCACTTGGCATGTATCGGTACATGCATTAATGCATGCTGAACCCATCTTACATGTATACATCTCCTTTATGGGGGAGAGGGGAGATTGCGGTCAGCACTTTATGCAGTGGCATTATTTATTGTCGCAACATTAGTTACGAGTAATGGCATTTTGAACATCAATTTAAGGTCAATTTACCTTGATTATTTGTCATCTGCAAGCCAATCCATCAAAAGACAGCAGCCCGTGACCCTCGTTTGTTTTGCTGGTCCATTTACAGCGTGAAGCGTGAAGGCTACATTTATCTGTACCACTTATGAGGGAAACTTCCATTTGATGAATTGTAAAAGTGGCTTTTCAAAAGATGGAACAAACAAACAAACAAACAAACTGCGGTATGCAGTTTGTCCCACCTAAACATGTATGAGTACCTGTCAATCATACATGGGCAAGTTCAATCAGTGACAAATAGTCAACCGATGGTCGATTTTGACTGGTAACCGATGCATTAAATGTGTATTGGGCATCATGGAAACTTGACCAGTGGTTAAGAAACTGCTGCTGATCAGACTTGCTCCATGTACACTGTAGTTCTTTTTTTTCTCTTAAAAACATTTCAAACAGTTTGTGACCACTTTACAAATTAAGAAAATGGTTTGAAGTGTACAGTGTGCCCTGGGGAAATTTATTAAGCAAGTGAAACCAGCAGGACTCAGCTTACATTTCAACCCATCAGCAACCGCCCCATTTTTCAAAAGGTTCCATCATAACAACCAGATGTTGGGTCTGGGATGAGATTACACTTACACTGTATGGTGGGTAGTTTTTAACAATCTCAGTGATGAAGCTGGTGCCACTGATGCACATGGGCTATACATGTTAGAAATCAATAGTGCAGTGGATTCATGATCAATGGACATCTGTCTGGCTATGTTGAACTTTACTCCCACACGCCCTTGTGAATTTGTTAATGAGCATAAGAATGCATTTATTATATATTTTTCGATGTGACATACTGCAAGAAACAAGCTTTTGAGTTCTCTTTTTTTAATCTGAGAATTTCTTGATCGATAGGAAAGGATGTGAATGGTGTAATGTCTCATCATGTGGTTGCTGCAGTCTGTGTGAAAATAATTCATTCTCTCCGGACATTTTATCAGGAAATTTTTCTCCACAGGTTGGCTTGCTCGACCTCATGCACATAAGTGTTGTTTGCCTGTTGTATTGACATTAGTTTTACAGCAGCATGACCACACACTGCTTCCCCGATTATTTTTTTCCTGGGGTATCTACTGTACGTACACATGAACCGTACGGCTGTACATACATGTAGTATTGATAACAAATATCAAGTTGCATGAAGCATTCCATATTCATGTAATTGCTGATGTCAACAGTAATGATATAATTCCATATTTTCATCCCAACAATGAAAAAAGTTTTTACAAGAAAGAGACTGCAAAAGATAGTTGAAGGTTACTGTATTGATCCTACAAGTACAAGAGAATTGTTCAATTGTTCATTTTTTTTTCTCTTTTTAAAAAAATCTCCTGGGCAGACATACATCGGGAGTGTGGTGGTTTCCGTCAACCCTTACAAGAAGCTGCCACTGTACACGCTGGACAAGATCCAAGAATACAGGGGCATGAACCTGTATGAGCTGCCGCCGCACATGTGAGTGATACTCCAGAGAGTAATGTGGAATCTGACACAGACTGGTACACAGGGTGTATCAATTCAACAGGGCCAATTCGGCCAAATTCCTTCCCAGGTTTTCTTGTCTGTTCCTCTGTTCCCGTGCATCCCTTTTTGTACTTGCAACTTTCCATGCCAAAATACTTGCAGCTTTTTCTTTATGTCAGCATACTGTGCAGTGTATTGAGCTTTTCTTTTTTAAAAACTTAACAAACCATTAATTGGAATGGTATTTGACTCAACTTGAGACTGGAGGACTTGCATTTGAATTGTGATGGATGCGTCACATTAAACACTGGAATTTTCTCCAATTTTTCTTTTGACTGCCCAGGTGCATGTCTGTATGTTGTTCCCCTGCCCTCCTCTGCCCCTTTAATCTTGTCTTGGCGCCTTCCTTTTCTTTCTTTTATCATGTCTTTCCCCTCCCCTTTTTTAATCCTCCCCCCAGCCTACCCTCCATCCTCACCCTACCATCACCCTACCCCCGCTGCAGCTTGTCTACCCTTCCTACGCATCATGTGCCTTAGTCTCCTTTCTCCTCATGTCCCTTTTCCCACCAATTGCATGAAAGCTACTTGGTAATATATGACAAGAATTCAGGACTTAAATTTTGGACTTGTGTAGTCTGCTGAAATTAACGAGGACCAACCAGCCAAACATGTGAATGATCCCTGACCCTGTATGTGCAGTGTAAATTAGACTCTTGTCTGATTTTTTGTGGTAAATGCTATTAAATAAGTACATTTTAATACACCTGTGCATTAAACGCACATGTAGTTGAAATTTTACCCTTTATTTACTTACACATAAATGTTTATCTCTCACAAGCAGTTTTATTAAGAGATGACTATCAGTCTTCTTTTCTAGGGAGTTTAGGTTAAGGCCACTTCTGTCTGGTATTCTGTCCCTTTGTATCTGAAGGCACTTTTTTCAAGATGTTTTTTTTTGCGTTGGGGAGATATTAATTTATATAACAGGTTTCGCCCTTACCCAACGGATATTGATAAACACTGTATGCTCAGTGCTTGTCCGAGAGCTTGCGAACAAATTCACAAGCTTACTCGGGTAGGACTCGAACCCACAGGAGGTAGTGGGTTCAAGTCCCACCCGAGTAAGCTTGTGAATTTTTGCGCAAGCTCTCGGACAAGCACTGAGCATACAATGTTTATCAATATATACGTTGGGTAAGGGCAAAACCTGTTATATAAATCTGAAGGCATTGTTATAGCTTTTTGCAATTTCGATTATTTACTTGTATATTGGTGAATTGTTGTGGGAGCTTGAAATGTTGTTTATGAATGGAAATGAAATTCTTAGTTCTTTGACATGCAACAATTGCTTTAGATCCATGTAGGCTTCTGCAACCACAGTTCAGGGTTATCAACGCACACTGAGACTCAGTGGGTAAACTGGCTACTCGTTTGTTTAAAGTGGGTTTCCTGTTTGTTCTTTTGCTTGTCCCAACAGATATGCCATCGCTGACGATGCCTATCGGGACATGCGGGACAAGAACAGGGACCAGTGCGTGATCATATCGGGCGAAAGTGGTGCAGGAAAGACTGGTGAGTGGGCACGCTTCCTGTTGGAAGAGGTCTGCGGACATGAACATGTTTGGCAGAGAGGTTTCAAGGGTGTTGGGTTGGAGACTTGATATGTGTGTGGCACATGTAGCAAGGTCAGATAAGCGAATTACAGTGTCATGTTATATTTGCAGCATGTACATTTCAAGTTTTCATTCACAAACTTTGGTTTGTTTGGAAAACTTTTTAAAAAATCATGCGGTAGAAGTGAAACAAAGAGAAACACTGGTAAGATAAACGGATATGGAAGTTAGCTTGAAAAATTGAAAGAATTCAAGGTATGCTTTTAGTTGAACATGAAGGGAGTTAGGTATTTCCTTTCGATATTTGCTTGTTCACAGAGGCCAGCAAAGTGGTCATGCAGTATGTAGCTGCCGTGTGTGGCAAAGGCAAAGATGTGGATTTAGTCAAGGAACAATTGCTGCAGAGCAACCCAGTGCTTGAAGGTAACAACAAGACAATGTTGATAACTTAGTGAACAGCACAGTGCTTTACATCTTCTCCCCCTTTGTTAGGACTTCTGTGATTGGTTGACTGTTCCCAACACATTATTGGTGGTCAAAGAATGACCAATCACAGTACACCTTTTAATGTCCATACCTGATAATAGTCTTTAGAAGGACTTCCAAGATTAGATTGCACCTGTCATTTCAATACCCAATCCATTTGCATGTGTCTACATGTAAGTTTATCAAATTGGTGTTATACAAATGTGTCCCCGTACAGTTTCCAAAATAATAATTCAGCCTGAAAGTGATGTTTGTTCAGTTCTGCACGTCCATATTTGTCAAAATCGAACAGATCTAGCTGTAAGATTTTAGCAGATCTTTTTGGGAGGGGGGCTTTTGTTTAAGTAAATGAGTGTTTGCATAAACTTCATTAGAAACGAAGTAGAAAAATAAAAATGTCTTGGAAATTCTCTGCATTAAGTAGATACATAAAATAAACCTCTGTGTTATTCAATGGCATGAGGCGTAATATGTTTATTTGGCAGAAACTAAATTCAGCCATTAACTTATTTCTTATGTTGACTGTTTGCAGCATTTGGCAATGCAAAGACAAACAGGAATGATAACTCCTCGAGATTCGTAAGTATCAGTGATCACTAAATGGAGAATGTAATTGTTTATTTTTATGTGGTCTTTTCTCATTGTGTTTGCAAATGATGTGTAAGGATGTGGTTATAAACCCTGCATAGCACGGCATATCTAAAATATCGCTGGCCACAAATTAGGAGAGGATAAATACCTTGTTGCCGACGACGCATGATGTTGGGAAGGAAATGCACACCATTTAGCGTGCCGACAAGGACCATGTCTTGTCCGTCCCTCAACACGTACACTTCATTAGTGAGGCCCGTTCCGGATTAACCTATAGGTCAACTATTCTTACTGAGTGCACACACACAGAGAAAAGAGAAAGCCAGTCATAGACCAGAAATGTACTGCCATGTTTGATTCTGTCTTTTTGAAGCTTTGGGAGTGTACAAATATAGCTCTGACTTTTTCGGGGATCATTTTTATTTGATGGCATGCGTACAGTGTTATTCCCAGCTGAGGAATGTTTTTCCCTCCTGAATGAACATTCTTGAGGATTGGACACCAATGAAAAAAACCTGAGCAGGCTCAGTCCAAAAATGGGCTTGATTTTTTGTGCTTATCGGGATGTTATTTTGTCTGCATGGGTCTTGATGAGATGTCCATGTGCGTACATGCGCGTGATCATCTCAAGACCTACCTACTCATTTCTGTGCGCACATCTGGTTTCTGTATAATTGGAGAGAAAGTTATTTGAAAAACATTCTGAATAAACTGGGTCCTTTCTTTAAAAAATTACTTCCCTAATGACACGTTTTCATTGAGAAACGTTGCCCTGAAGTCCTAATTACCATCTAACAGACCCTGGTATAATGTTTATGAGTGTTGGCTTTACTGCTAATTGAAAAGAACTGAGGAGCGGCCAGTCAATGCAGCAAATGCACCTGTATGGTGTTTGACATGAACACATCTTTTTTTGTTTAGTCGAGAAGTTGCCTTTTACTTTGCCCAGAGCAGCTTTTTGTACTTGTCAAGTAGTCCGACCAGCTCAGTGAGCAAAACCCCAAATCTTTCTCAGTGTAAGTTTGGTTTACATGTTTCTGTTGCGTAGGGTAAATACATGGATATAGAGTTCGACTACAAAGGTGACCCGATTGGAGGAGTGATCACAAATTGTAAGTTGTTCAGTTGTAGAATAAAAGGACTGCTGTAATTTATACTAATGAGGATATAGTTTCCTCTAACATGTCGAAAAGGTTGAAGTGAAACATGGCCGAACTGTATTTACACATACATGTACATTGGCCCCATTTCTTAAGCAAACAAACCCAAAAGTTGATTCAGTAGAAAATTAAGAGAGTGACTGGCACATACCATTTGAAAAAAGAGTGGTGTTTAGAGATTTCTTTAACATGCTATTCATTCATGAGAATTTTGCAAAGAAGTATGAATGTTTATTAAAATGCATGTTTGTTTTTTGGAAGATGGTACTGATGCCTGCTTTGGAAGGAAACATATATTCGTATCCCAGACAAAATTCCTTTTACTAAGGTTTTCTTGTTTGTAAATCTAGCCATTTCTGAGTTCTACCGTTATTTGTGTACACAAACCCTTTTTCTTAGGCATCTTAACTGTTCAAATGTGATACTTTCCAAAGCCTCCTATATGCAGACCTGTGGCACTGTCTTGTATCGACCTTTCAAGGAGCATTAAAGCTCCGTGTAAAATAAGAGGCAGAGCTCTACCTTCCTCAATCCTTCAGAATCCTCCTTAACTTGGTAGAATTTGTAGGAACTAGGAGGGTTAGAGTAAGATGTTTCATTTATTTTACGATGATCATAATGTCAAATGTGCAAGAGTATTTATTCTGTTGTCTCTGTTGAAACCAATTTCCTTGTTTGCATTATTTTCGCAGATCTGCTGGAGAAGTCTCGTGTAGTCATTCAGTGCAAAGGAGAGAGAAACTTCCACATATTCTACCAGTTGCTTTCAGGAGGACCCCAACTTTTGCTTGGTAAAGAAAGACATCTGATAATCGCTCAAATGTTCTTTTCAGTGCTGACAAATTGTTCATAAGTCTTCAAAAGCCTCAAATGTTGTTTGTAGATGGTTTTCATCAGTTGTTTACAATAAACTGCACTTCTGTGTAATTTTATTTATTTTGTTCTGTGAAATCAGTACGGAAAGTTAAGAAAAAACAGCAACACATTGATGTATTGTCAGCAATTTGTGACCAGTAGTTAAGTCACAGCTTGTTGTATGTAAAGAGAGACTGAATGTCAGGTTTCCCTCACAAGCTGTTCTCTTTTTCCTGTAGTCAAGTTCCCAACATATCCTTGGTTATTTGAAGAGATGCTAGGTTTCCTTGTTTGTTCAGATTTGGCTGCATTACAGCAAGGCTTGGCCAAAATGATTGTTTACATTAGTTTACTTCTTTGTTGGAAACAGATTATTACTTGGACAACCATTTTCCCGATTCCGTTATTGCTTGTTGAAATCCATTAGTTCGTTTGTTTTGTGACTGGCAGAGGAACTTGGGTTGGAGCGGGATCCCAAATGCCATCATTTCCTGAGCCAGAGTGGCCCGCAGATGGCAAGCAACATCAATGACAAGGAAAACTTTTCCATCACACAGGTAAACAGATGTTTTGTGTTGCATCACCTGTCTGTGGGTGGCTACTGATGACCCGACTTTCAGCTCTTGATGGCCGGCATCCGTGATGTGGAAAATTTGCTGTCAGTTGTGCCATTTGTGTTCCATTGTGGCAAGAGCAGTGAACACAGATGGCTGTTGACAGCCTGTTTTTCAGAGGCAAAATGTATCCGCTTGTAATACGAATCTTTCTGTCACATAGAAATATTCACTTACCACATTGGTAACAGCGGCCAGTTTACAGTAGTCAGTACGTGACTTTTGACTGCCTCATTGTTGGTCAGCAATGACCTACTCACACACCACTTGGGCAACTGTAGTCAGTAGATTATTGTCTGCTGTGCAAACACTGCCAGGCTTGGATTTTAGTTGGCTGGTACTGATAATGAAGTTGTTTCTTTTTTTGGGGGGGGATCATCCAGAAAGCCATGCAGATCATCGGCTTCAGTGATGAGGAGATTCTAGCCATTTACCAGCTGTTAGCTAGCATCCTGAAGCTGGGCAATATGGAATTTGAAGCCTATGTGACCATGAATGGTACAGAGGGAGTCAAGATCACCAACCAAGATGGTAAGATTCCTAGAGGATCTGTTTATTGATATATCAATGGAATTTGCCAAATCTTGCCTCCTTGTTCCAGCCACAGCGCCAAGTTCCAGTTTCCTTTGTTTAATCTTCTGCTCCACTTTCTGCTACAGAGAAGTTGACCTGTTCCCTTTGAGGCCAAAGTGTGGAGTATTTCAAGTTTTTTCAACTGTAAACATTTTTTAAAATGATTTTGAAGCTATACTGCCGGCAAAGCTGAGATTTTATAAGCAGTCATAGACATATTTATGTTTTGCTCTGTACTGCTTGAGAAACGTGAAATCAAAGACTTCACAAATCCTCCCAACTTAGCATTTGTCCGACCTGTTTTCAAATTATTTGACAGAAAGTTTGTTCATCTTTTCAAAGGTATCGTCCTTGATATGAAACTCGTATCGAAATGGAAAGCTTTTTTTAGGTAGTCCATGCAATTTAAATAGAAAATAAGGGAAGTGGCAGATGCAGAAATAACATCGCTGAATTGGTAATTACGACATATAGCTCAGGAATTTGACTACTGAATGATGAACTAACAAAGCTTTTGTCTCTCTAACAAATTCTTCCAGAATTAGATGATGTATGTGACATGCTACAGTGTGAACGGCACGATGTGATGCATGCCTTGACCAAGCGGACAGTCCGTGGCGGCAAGGGGGACAAAGTCGTTACCACGCTGAGTGCCTCCCAGGCGTTCTATGCCAGGGATGCCTTGTGCAAGGCCATCTATGACAGACTGTTCACCTGGATTGTCAAGACCATAAACGAGAGCATCAGGGTAGGTCGACAAACCAAGTCAAGATTTGAAGAAAGTTTAGGTACCCTTGACTGTCAGTTCCCTTGTTTGTAGCTTAGTCGTTGCTACCAGGCATGATCCCTGTTGACATGGCACGTTTGCCTTGAGTAGAACCAGGCTAGTGCTCTCAATTGACAGACTGGGAGGTTACCAAATGAGTGGCTGGACAGCTCAGTCAGCAGAACCACTGCAGTGGCTCTCAAAGGTGGCAGTTCAAAATCTTGCTTCATGTTTGTTTGTTGAGTACATTTGATTACAAGATTTTTACCAGAAGCATATGTACTACCATTTTATCGGCATTCCCATTGAGCCGTCCTGCCCCTGTGGTTGTGTCCTCATTTGTTTGCATTGGCAGGCCTCAAGTAGGACTGTCTGATTTTGTGCAGTTTTCCTAAGTCTTGTATTTATATGTTTGTATTGTCTACAGGTCAAGATGGGTGGCAGAAAGAAAGTCATGGGAGTCTTGGACATTTATGGATTTGAGATCTTTGAGGTGAGTACCAGATTTATAGAGCCAGGCTGGGGTAGAAATACCTTATAAACTCCACCCGTTAGGGCAAGGCATGTGTTTCCCATGTTTGAAAGCAATAAGAAAATATTTTTGTTTATGAGAATGTTTCGTGCTGGCATATGGTAAAGACCCTAATTAGTTTCATGGAGTGCAGATTGAAAGCTTTGTCTAAGCTAACTCAACTGCTGAACGGAATTCACCATTGCACTAGTCACCTGCAACCTGCAGTATCACTCAATCTACTTGGCCACAAACCCATTATTATTAAGAGAACATTCTCAGCCTCGGCAGATTTTTAAACTTTTTAGTGTTTGTCAGACCCAGGAAAGTTGGTCCAGTGGCACCTTCTTCTTTTTAAGGTTAATGGCGCAGACAAGCAGTTATTTTGCTGTTCCCATATTGTTCCCAGTGAGCATTCGGCATGATAGCAAGTATTTTTCTCTGTCGATTCCACAGAGGAATGGCTTTGAGCAGTTCATCATCAACTACTGCAACGAGAAGCTGCAGCAGATCTTCATTGAGCTGACGCTGCAGCAGGAACAGGAGGAGTACATTGTGGAGGGCATCGAGTGGACGCACATTGACTTCTTCAACAACATCCCCATCTGTGAACTGATAGACAAGGTATGAGGAATCTCGGCTCTCTCCAATCAAAAACTCCCGTCTTCAGCCATCAGTTGTTTGCTGGTCTGTTGAAACGACCTGAGCTTTGGGCAAAATGTGCTATGGCCATAATAGATTGACTTTACCAATTGCGATGAGTTTGGACCTACATGTATGAGTTATAAAGGAATTGTAATCGACTTGTAAAGCACTATTGAGGTTAGTACGTGACACAGTGTGTGCTTACCCTAGCTCCAAAATGAAGTGTAATTTTTCTTTCTTATAAGTTTTTGTTTTTGTTCAGTACCAAGAATTAAGTATTTGTATAGCTGAATTTGAATGTGTTGAGTTAATTATTCAACTCGATTTGAATATGTTGAAAAGACTTGAACAACTGTTGTTATTGTGGTCCTGAGAACAATTTAATTACCTTACTAGCCTGCAAGGCATATGATTCTGTGTGTCATTCTAGGATTATTCTACATGTGCCAATTTTCCCATTTTTACGGGAGTCAATAATGTATGTTTGTTTTGGCCGGTAACCAAAACTCAGTAAAATTAAGTGTAACCAACCTGTATAAACTATTATACCTGTGGAAAATATACCTGTAGAAAATAAGCTGCAATATCTATGCCGAGTTGTCTACTCTCAAACATGAGCGAACATCATTAGATTACTATCTGCAAGATTGGTCCGGAGTCTTGAACGGTCTATGCCCTCTTTACTCCATCATTCTCTCCCTTTCTTCAAACCTTCAATCTCCTGCCATCCTTTCAGAACAAAGCAGGCATTCTGGCCATGTTGGATGATGAGTGCCTGCGACCGGGCGATGTCAGCGATGACACCTTCCTGAACCGTCTCAACGCGTCCCAGTACATCATTGGCCACAAGCACTACGAGAGCCGGGCCAAGCTGAAATCAGACAAGACCATCAACCACTCCAGCTTCAGATTACAGCACTATGCCGGAGAGGTAAAGTTACTGGGTCTTGATTATTGTTTCGTGTTGCTAAACCTGGTTATAGCTATTTGAATTCCCCCCCCCCCCAATCAAGACGTCACAGTTGTACCAAATTTTATCTCAGTGACTGTGGCGCTGTGTCTTGGATAGAGTAATTTCATTGGTTTTGGACGGTGTTGTGTTTTGTTAATTAAATTGAGTGTGACATGGCTTACATTACACAAATACTGTCTTGCATTTCCTTATGTATTCTGATATTTGTTGCTTTACCCTGTGACAAGTTTTTCCACCCCTGTAATCTCATTGGCTCAGGTTTAAGTGCATAGACCACACTTTCACTTGGGACTTGTATTTCAAGGAAAAGTTAGTCATAAACAATGTGTAGTTATGCGTAGTTCCCCAATAGGTTTACTTGTACTTTCCCCTCTTGTTTTCTACAATTCTTCTTGAGGAAGGACTATTTATTTTGCACTTTTCTATCTAGATTGTAGTGACATCCTCTTGTGGAAATGCATTGAACCATTTTCAGATTAGCCGGGAAGGCTGATGTGTAGAAAGTCCAAGATGACCAGGTTACTGAACTCAACTGTGGATAACAGACTAAAGTAATTCTTTACATCACTCACATTGTAGTTGAACCCAAGAAGTTCAGTTCATAATGACCAATCCTCAAAAATGCTGTGACTTAAAACTTTTTTATTATTTGCAAAGGTGACCTATGAAGTGGATGGTTTTATTGACAAGAATAATGATCTCCTGTTCCGAGACCTGTCTGAATTGATGTTCAAGTGTGAGCACATGCTACTGCAGGAGATGTTCCCTGAGGGAAACCCACAGTTTGGCTCCAACAAGAGACCCCCTACAACTGGATTCCAGTTCAGGGTGGGTGGAGTGTTTCAAGTGATATAAATGAGCATGTCCAATACTTCAAAAATTTGGTCTTTCGTAAGTTGTGGTTCTTCGTTTCCTTGAAACAAAATGAACTGCAGTTAATCAGCCAAGTGCATTAGGGAGCATTAAGGAGCAAACATTGAACTTAAAGGCTTCATAGTGACTCACACATCTGCTTGTTTCTATTAAAAAAGACTTTAGCATGACTGTGATTCCCAAATGTTTCCTGTTTGATTTTCCAAGTACACTTTCTGGTTTCTTTAGCTCTCTGTGGCACAACTCATGAAGAATCTCCTGGCCAAGAACCCCAACTACATCAGGTGTATCAAGGTAGGACAGCCCTTCATGCTATTGATGTTAGACAGCTGAAGAGGAGAAAACCGTTGATAGGTCATTAAAAATAAGTGCTACCCTGTAGAGACGTTGGCAAGTATCAGAACATCTGACCAAAGTGCAGAGTTTCTTTGTGTCATGGAGAGCACGCTGAAAAGATCCAAAGAGTGTTTGGTGCTTAGGGTCCTCAGTGTCTTTATGAATGGGCGGCCTGCATCAAAAAGTGCTGATGCATTGGACACTTTGATTGACTCGCACCTTGTTGCCAGGCTACAGACTGATTTGGGTGGAATATCAAACCTCCAAGTTGGTTTGCAGGAGTTGGGGAGATGCTAAATGTTGCATTGCTGATATTTAGAAAAATGAAAAAAGTGTTCAAATCCCATACTTTATTTCCAAACCCTTATATTGGCTTGATGGACATAGAGTGATGTGGCTTGTTACGATAATTTTTATTTTTCACATTTCAGCCTAATGACTACAAAAAGAGCGACGTGTTTGATGAGAAGCTGGTTAGACATCAAGTCAGATATCTCGGGTAAAAAATTCAAACATCTTCTCCTCTTCCACACTAAACCAAAAGCACTTGCTCATCATGTTTTGCAACCCCCCCCTCAAAAAAAAGGGACACCCCCACACAGACTGCATCTTTTTTGAATTGGTAGTTTCAATCTTGTTCAGGCAAGGGCGGCTGTTTTGGTCAATGTGAGGTGTAAATAGCCTTGTGCCTTCAGGACAAATGGGTGGTGTAACTCTCGCCCTCTGCCCGCCAAATAAATAAATGTGTCCTCGATTATAACAAATCCCACACTCATTTATCACCAGCAAACCAAAATCAAGCAGCTAATTTATTATCATAAGGTTGTCAGGGGTGTGAGAATTCATTTTTTTAGCTGATTTCAGTTTTTTTTTATGTTGACCCTGAATTTCAGCTTTTTTGTGCACCTGGTGTGTACAAAATGTATGGGAAGTTTTTACATTTCAGCTTGTTGCAAGCCGATTTCAACTTTAAAGGAACCAGGAAATAAAAATATTTTTATAAATTTTACAAAAACCTTTGAAAGTGCATCTTTGGGTTTCAATTAACCTTCTTTTAAATTTCTGTTTTGCCATTTTAACCCATATTTTGATTTTTTTGTTTTATGCTAATGTCATTTGCATATTCATGAGCAGAACTATGATGTCCACCAAGGCACTGAATCTCAATGTTGCACTGATTTGTGCACAGAAAAATTCTAGATTTTTTTAACTATGGCAGATTTTATTTTCTTTGGCAACTTATTGCTTTGTAAGTATATGGCAATAATCCAGCAAAAATCCTTTTTTACAGAAATGTTCCCAGATAGCAAATTTGGGATTCACAATTTGAACATGAAAGCATGCAACCTGAACCATGTCCTCCTGGATTTGCATGAAAGCAAAAGCGCCCTCACTTGTCCAGAAATGCTCAGTCAATTTTTAATGTTTGAAAAAGTGCACCGTTCAGTTCACATAACTCTAAAAATGATGTCAAACAGTCTTCATACATGGAAGAAGAGTACAGAGATACACAAAAAGTGATTCTAAGAAAAATTCATTTCCTGGTTCCTTTAATTTTGAATGTCCACTGACACCCCTGACTACATACTGTGCTGAAGTCCATATGCATTAGTTTAACATCAAGAACACCATTCAAAGCGTTATTTGTCACTTTCAAAAGTGGTGACGAGGAAACAATACAAATGTTGGAGTGGGTTTGTTTTGACGTGACAGCTTAATGGAGAATGTGAGAGTGCGGCGGGCAGGGTACGCCTTCCGGCAGCCATACGAAGCCTTCCTGAAGCGGTACAAGATGCTGTGTCCGTCCACCTGGCCCAACTGGCGTAAGCAGCCCCAGGACGGAGTGCGGGAGATCCTGACACACCTCAAGGTCACCAGGGAGGAGTACGCGTTTGGGAGGAGCAAGATCTTCATCCGCAACCCGCGAACAGTAAGCTTGCAGCAGTTTATCCGTTAGGCTAGCTACTGTTGGCAATCAGTAAACATCTGTTCTTTCATTGATCCAGGCTGTCATGGTTTGGATTAAAGGGTCCAGGCAGTGAAATTTTACCAAGATGCTCATTTTGTTCAATTTTATATTCTAATTCAATATGTGAAAACAATATTGACATCCTTTTGATGTTAGGTGTATTTCAAAGTGGTTTTTAAAAAAGTCTGGGACTGAAGTTTGAAAGAATGGCCAAACAATTTTTTAAAGGAAACTGTAAAATGAAACAAGAGGTAAACTCTAGGTTCACCTGGAGATTTCCTGAGGTTCAGCACTGTAATGTGTGGGACACCTCAGTGCAGAGAGTTACCCTATTGTTTAATTTGGGACCCTCCATAGCAGCCAGCTGGTGCTCTGTTAAGTCCTCCGGCAATGACACAATCATTGTAGGTTTTGTGTGTGATTGGCCCTTGTGGTTTGACCGAGTCTACAATCTCCCTTTTCAGCTGTTTGACTTGGAGGAGCGACGGCATCGTCGGATGGAGGGCCTCGCCACCCTGCTCCAGAAAATCTACCGTGGCTGGAAGGCCTACTCAAGCTTCCAGCTGATGAGGCAGAGCGCCATCCTCATTGAGACTCGCTTCCGGGGCTACAAGGTAAAGGCCTGCTCCATCCCAAGATCTGTTTTCCCCCATCTTAAAGTATCTCAGACCAATTATTTTTTTGGCTTCATTGTGAAAAGAATGGATTTCGGCAGAGAAGAAGAGGTGGGATTAATTTTTGTTCAGCATTTTGGTAGATGTTGCTTTGTTCAGGCACTGTCATGAACTTCAGACTACCTGCTGGTCTTGAGGGGACATGTTTGAACTGTTGTGGCTGAGTTCTAAGTCAGATGCATTTTGTATTTTGCAAACCTTCGGTTCAGTTCATCTTGGAATGCTTGTTTTCGATTTTTTACAACATCTAAGAGAACTAACACAATTAGATGATGGTTGTAGAAGCAAATTATGTATCTGATACCACTCTTAATTTAACACCTGATAATTTTTTAATAAAGAAACTGAATTTGAATTCAATGAGCATGCTAACAAAATAAACTCTGACTTTTTTAACTTAACATATATATGAAACCAGATTTCACTCAAAGCATGTTAAACGATTGATAAGTTACAGTATTTGCATTTTGCAGAAATTGTTGGAAGGGAGGGATTGGTGTGATTTGTAAGGATTTTCCCAGATGTCAGAATTGTTAGCCCCCTTATTGTAAATGCTTAGAGGTGTAGTCACTCAGGTTTTGCTGTTTCTGTAGCATTTGAAACCCAAAAATCAAGTTCAAGAGTTGCGTAATCATGGCCAGTTTGGGGGGTTTGTTTTGGAATGATGTAGGAGAGAAAGAAATATGTGGAGACTCGTAATGCAGCTATCACCATCACGTCCTTCTACCGAGGCCACCAGGCCCGCAAGGAGTTCAGGAAAAGACGGTATCAAGCCCAGTGCCTGTGGGCAGCCAACATCGTTCACAAATACTTCCTGGGATGGAAGGTGGGTAGAACTTTCCATGGAAGAGTCTAGTAAGCCTGTCATTGCCAATGGCACTCTTGGTTGACCAGACCTGTACCCCATGCGTGGGCTGTGTAAGCTGGGAAGTTGTAGCCAAAGTCAAATTGTGTTCTTTAGAAAGCACTGGATTCGGCATTGGATTTTGACAAAGCTGTAGGGATCGGTCTTCTGATGACAAACAGAAATGTCAAGTTGATACAACCAGTTGTTGGACACGACTCAGAAAAGAGATGAACTTCCACCATGGTATTGCAGAACCTTCCATACTTTATATGGTGTGTTTTTCCAGGATTTATTCAATGAAGTTCCTATCTAACAATCGTCTTTTCTTTTTCAATCCAGACCAAACACCAGAAATAAGCAAAACCCATCTTAAAGCATTGTATTATTGTATGAATTTTGACAAGCTAAAAGAAAACCACTTTCAGCTTCAGTTGTTTGAAGCCATGTTCAAATCAGAGTGTCACTTGAATATCTCTTTGGTAATTTTTCTTTGGTAGAGAGTTACCCCATTACTTTGCAAGTGATAATTCACTTGAATTATTGGGGCTGTTTTTCCTTTTTATTATCTCAGGTTCGAAAGGAACACAGGAAACGCTTTAGGTCCAATGCTGCCCCCAAGATTGTAGCCTTCCTGCAAAGATGCAATGTAAGTTGTAAACCCTCTATTCAAATCAGTGGAGTTTGTTGTGGTTATGGTATTACTGACATTCCCAAGTGATCTGAGGCAGTCATGCTGGACCAAACCTCACACGATACTTTCGACCATTGAAGGGGGTCGCTGAGGATGTCCTGTGACATCGTTTTGGCTAATAGACCTAATTTGAATTTGGACTGAAAATCCAATGTTTTACTATCGTTTCAGGGCTTGTTTGTTTTTCTCATGGATCTGAAGTGTGATCAGCAGATCGGCCTAATTGGTAGACCAAACCGGTGTTTGGAACACATACGTGTACTGAGATCCAGATCCGTGTATGAAACAAAGAGGCCCTCATTTACCAGTTTGCTTCCTTCATTTGGTTTTGTTACAGCACACACGCTATCTCCGGCGTTTGCAGCAGCACTTACCCACCATGTCCCCTCTAGACTACTCCTGGCCTCCTTGCTCCGTCCTACACACCAAGGCCCACAAGCAACTCAAGGACATCTTCGTCAGGTGGAGGGTGAGTCCTCAGAATCTGTTCACTCCTTTCACTGAGAGAAAGAATAATAAGCTTAGGGACGTGAAGACTTTATTATCAGCTTTATTACAGAGGAGATAGAGTCGTTGTTTCTGTCGCTGTGCCCACAGTATCTCAACTTGTGCCTAAACTTTCTTTGAGAATATTGCCCATTTGGCTTAAAAACACAACGCTGTTTGAATCAAACGCATCACAAAATTACAAGGTTTTCTCAGTCTATTTCTTATCAGAAATTAGTTTTGGTTTTTTAAACTGTATGACAAATGAATGGGGTTACTGTATCGCAGCCTGTCATATTTTGTAATAGTTATTCAAGCAGTAGGAAAGAGCAACAAACTCTTTGCTTTTACCTATGAACACAGACATTGATGTGGGTGAAAACTGTTGAGGATTCCTGTTGACTTGCATCAAATAAGATTCCTTTAATTTAAAGGCCTTAAACTCATAAGTTGCTCAAGCCACTTATGACTCATTTTGTTAGGTTGGATTGCAAATGGTCGGCATTCGCTGAAAATCTTTACAAGTATCAACCCCAAAAAATTAATGATTAATGTACATGTATGTGTCACATGTGGTATTAAGGTTGGTCCGTGAGGTCAAGCTCAGAAAGGACATGATTGTTTATGACAGAGATTGGATTTCAGATAAACAAATTGATTGGTCTGTTTTCCTTTTGATTCTGCCGTCCCTAGGCTAAGCAGTATCGGAAAAGATTTGACGAGCCCACCAGGATGCGACTTGGAGAGAAAGTAACAGCTAGCATCCTCTTCAAGGACAAGAAGACCCTGTACTCCAAGAGGTACTGCCAACAATTTGCTTCAAGCTGGCTACAGCCTTACCTAATTGTCAAAGTTTATTTTCTTAGGGCTTATTTTGCGGAAAACTAGGCTTGCATCTCCATAAAAATTGTCACCTGTTTAAATCATTTTGGTATTTCAGAGGTGCCTTGGATATCAAGATTTGATTTCATTAATCAAGCTTTATTTAATAATAGTAATTTATTCATACATTGAGTGCAAATTTCATACAATAAATTGTCAAATACTCATGAAGACACTAAACTAAAGTATGACTGAGCTGAGGACATATAAAGGCACCTCAGGCAACTGCCAAACAACCCACATCTGACGACAGTGCTTAGCCAGCAGTCGTCAGTGTTGATTTTTACAGAGGGAGGAAAAACCTTCGTTGCGTAGGAGAGAATAAACTCTTCCTATATATAAACTGGCGCGGGACTCAAGACCACGTCAGAGTGATGATGCTTCATGCACTGACCAACTGTGCCACTTAGTGCAAGTCTCTGTAGATAAAATCTTGCATATGTCTTACTTTTTAAAGGAAGAGGTTTGCTGAGAGTGTGAAAACTGGGGCTCTGTCATTTCAAAAGCTGTGGAGTTGTCCTAATAGTGTCTTCTGTACGTATGTCCGGATTACAGTGTGTCCAGAGCTTTCCAGGGTGACTATGTGCGGCTGCGTGCCAACGCCAAGTACAACAAGACCTACTCAGCAACCAACGAGCAGCACGTTGTATTTGCTGATGTCATCAACAAGATCAACAGAGGGAATGGAAAGGTATGTTAACCTTGATGTTGTGTGGAAGGGTCAGCGATACAGACAGTCGGGATACTCGCAGAAACTTTGGGGATAACTTTAGATGAAGTCAGTTTTCACTTGCCCAAAAGAATTAAAAAGAAACACACTTGTCAAGTTTTAATGGAACCAGGAGCTCTGAATGAACAAGAAAGGAATCTTTATTTTCTAGTCGGGCATCGATCTCCCGTGGGATGGCACACTACGTGGACATGCATTCCTGTTCCATAGGTGTGGGGACCAGACACCTGTTGAGTGATTGTAATTACAGGGACCAAAAGTTGTCGTACCAGCCTCTCTCTTTGTGACCAGTGAGGGAGCACTTGCACACAGGTAGATAGCTGTTTGGAAGTGCTTTCACTGTAGCAGCGACAGCTGTTTCAGTTGGTTCCCTTCACCTCTTTTCCATTCCCTTTCCTCTTGTTGTGTCCTCAGATGCACTCCCAGCTGTTTGTGCTGACCACCAGCTCCTTCCTGATGATGGACCAGAAGACGCTAGCCCTCAAGAGCCGTGTCCCCTTGGCTGATGTCGCTGGCTTCACAGTCAGCCCTTACTGTGATGGGTTCGTCGTCTTGCACCTAAAAAAGGTAATCACGTTGAATTTTTATTAAGAATCCCTCAACCTTTATGCATAGGAAATTTTATTTTGAAAAAAGTCAAAGACAGAGGATATAAAAAGGAGAGTAGTGGACACATTTCTTAATTTCAAATATCGTGACCTTGAGTTGTGTTTCCGATAATTGTCAAGTGATTTGTGTCCAAGTTGGAAGCAAAGCTTACTCTGAACCAGTTAGATTCAGATGTCAGATTTTCTTACCCGAAAAAGCTGCCGGGGCGGGTTTTTTCCTTCAAATTCTTCCAAACTGCAATTTCTTTATGACGTAACCAAGCACGATGCATTCATATGTCAACCGTGGAAATGAAAAAAACTGTACACGCCCTCTGTTGAACAAATACGGAAATGTTTGTGTGTTTGCGCGTCATCTAGCATCAAGTGGTTAACTTCAGAAAAAGCTTGTGTGACTCTAAAGTGGGCAAAGTTTTGGACTGTGGCATAAACTATTTTTTTGATACCTGGGTTTTGGACATTTGCATGTCCATGAAACAGGTGACAGTAGAGAGTATATTAAGATATGTGCCTGCCTCACTAACATACAGCAGAGCTGCTCTGCTTTGCTTCATATTTGGAGTCGGGGCAAAGGATTTGCAAGTAAAACTCGCAGACTCAAAGTTGAGAACCTTGTCCAGATTCTTGTGGTTAAGGTGACATTGTCTGTTTGAGATACCATTTCAAAGTTCACCCAAGCTTGCCATGATGTTGCTTGAACTTGATTTTTGAGGCTGTAAAGCTGTAACCGTGTGCAACAGCATCATTTCTTGAAGAATCTCTCTAGTGGATCGGTATATTTTTAGTTAATGACTTTTTAAACTTGGTTTCACCCCAAGGGAAGTGAGCACACAAAGAAAGGTGACTTTGTGATTTTGTCAGACAAAGCCATTGAGCTGGTCACCAAGTTCCAGCGTAGCATACGGACGGCAACCAATCAAGACGTGTCCGTCAAGGTGACCGACAGGTGTGTAGAGAGCGTTCTCCCCTTATTCTCTCTTCTACTTCCTTGAAGGAAGTTTCTAGCCAGTGATTTCAATGAAATGAATCACTTTTCAGCTCTCAGTTTCCATATGTATTCTTAAACAGACATGGAAAATCAGTTGTACCATTCAACCTATTTAACTGGCTTTTTTCTAGCCCTTTTTTCTTTTTGCAGTGGTCCCCATTTTGACTAGTTTGCAAATATCTTTTTTTACCATCTGCCTCCGTTGCAGTTTATTTCATAACAACATTTTTATCAGACCTATCCTGTCCTGTGCCGATCTTGGAGAAATCCATGTGGAGATCTTTTCAAGGAGCATTTACGAATGTGCAGAAAGCCAGCAGCCCTGTCTTTTTACTTGCACTTTCAGAGGGCCTCAAGCCCCCTGCAAAGGGACAGTGGTACAGTTTCTTGCAGACACTACTAAAACCTGTTGGTGGATTTTGAAGGATCTGGGAAGTTAAGGGTTTTAACCACTTTGTGCCGGGGTTCCTGGTACCGGAGACCTTAGATTTATATGCTGGGGTGCCCGAAATCAGACAAAGGAGCTGGGCCTTGTAACAAAAGACCGTACTCGGAACAAAAGACCGAGCTGCTGGGAATTTGCCAACATTTTTTCAGTTGTCAATAGCGGAGGAAATCCGTCATTGTCTTGAAACAGTATACCACTATTTGTGGCATTCAGTGTGGGCAGATTACGACTGGGGACAAAAGCGCTCCAGTGCTCTTGCAATGAGCGATACAATACGCTAATCTGGCCGCTTTCGGCCAGTTTCGGGAACAACATAAAATTACGTAACACTGCACAATCTGGACTCTCTTTACAAGGCGTCATGCAACTTCAATTTAGACCGGGCAGCATCTGATTAAAATGGAAAGCTTGGAGGTCATCCTCAGTGTTGGGTAATTGGATTGTCTCTTTGTGAGCAGGTTCCCACTGGACTTCAATGGTACTCGAGTGCAGGCCACCGTCTGCACGCAGGACGCCAACGTGTCGAATCCAAACCCCTCCATCAAAAGGAAAGGTGCCAAACTGGAGATCATGGCCTGAGCACAGGTGAAGTGCAGCAAAAGACTGTAGGATTTCCCTCTGAGTTTGGACGGATTCCGTTTCCTGGCTAGTTCATCCAAGACCAAGGTTGGAGTGTTAACCCTTCACCAGCATATGTCTCGTGATCACAGCTTACAGGAGCATTCATGAGGGTGAGTGCTGGTGGTCACCGGACTGTTGTCTGGTGCCCTCACAGAAGGTGAAGTGCAAAGGAATGAGAATTTTTGGCACTGAAAACTCTATGTTCCCTTTGACACACATTGCATGTGACTGTATTACAAGACCCCTTCTTAGAGGGGGTTGTTATTTATCTGAGAAATGGACATTTTGGACAAGGTTATCGGCAGGAATATGTAGTTTAAGAATGAAAATATCAATATGTTGTTCTTTTTCCCCCTCTTATTTATGAATCAGTTTCATAGTAATGTCAGTTTTGTGTGTGTTCATGGTGTGTAGAAATATTTTCCTTGATACATCAGATGGTAACATCTCAGACATAAATGCTTGCTTTGCCAAAGTGAATGTCAACTAATGTTGAGGGTTTTTTTTCTATAGAAGAGGTTAGTAGTGTGTTTCCGAAATACTGTTAAAAGGCAGTAACAGTACTCACCTATAGAGGGCGACGAACACCCTAGTCATATCTGTGAAGTTATAATTCCATGTTTAGTATAGCTTGTCCGTTCACAGAATCCATGCTCCTTATTTTGCCACTGACATTAAAACCCAAGGGTTTTTTGGTTATGTGAGTCGGAGTGCCTGTACCTTTATCATTTTTGTATCGTACATTTTTTAAATGGAAGCTCCCCAAATCAGACACTGTTGTGCAAAAATGAGGATTTTGGTATTTCTAGAAACTTGCAATCATGTGATGATGAAAAGTGAAGTAAACATTCCAGAGTTTGTGATTCATGACTTTTTGTGTTTGCATAAGAATTACCATGTTTTCTTGTCGAGCAAATTTATGGAGGAAATTTTTGGCGTTGGATTTTTGCGCATTAGCTAATCAACTGTTTGAGACATTTTGGATTCACTTTTGGCAGCATCCACCAAGTGTTCCTCTGCAGCAAGTACAATTTTGTTTTTCTACAGAAATTAGCATTCATGACAATTCTTCTAAAAGCCGTATTAAAATTCACTCCCGTTCAGGACATATGTACATTGACAGGTCACTTCCAATATCCATGTCACTGGCAAAGACTGAAGTTAAGTTGGAGAGAAAAATCTTTCCAAAGGCAAATGTTTTATCGAGAGTGATTTTGTAAATGGAAGCTTTTGGCAGAGTTGCAGACCTTTCCTCAAACTTGTTTGATATAAATATCTGAAAAGAAACCAGATTTGTATAATTGGTAGTGGAAGCACATTCCATGAAATTTTGAAGACAAGTGTTGAAAGCCAAAGGAATTATGTCTGTCTCAATGATGTTTATGCTAAGCAAAGTTAACAAAAATCATGTTTGAAGAGCAAAATAGCCTACTAATCATGATACTTAAATTGCTGACTCAAGTTTGTGTTATACTATTAACTCCAAGTAGGACTTGTGTACATATTTAGTTTGTGTGGGAGTGATACCACACACATATTTATATATGGCCTAATCATCAGTGTCTTCCATAGTGTCGTGCACAGAGACGTTTGCTTTTCAAAATGATAATGTAGTCTTACAATTTTGGGTAGAGTTTGTGGAATCAGTGTGTGTAAATTTTGAGTGTGAAAACGATTCCCAGAAATTATGGTACTTGGTTGTCTGCCTCTTATGTAACTATTGAGCCTCTGTTCATAGCAGGAATTGCCTTATTTCTAGTCCTTGTCATCGTTAAATCTGACTTGTAAACAAGAGTGATATTCTGTGTGTTATACCGTACTATGTTATATTCAAAGTGCTAATTTAAGTTTAATGAATAAGATAATTAGAATGCATGTATCTTACACTTCTGGGAATGGTGATTCAAAGTGGTACCATGCCATTCAAGTTTTGTTTGTTTGTTTGTTTGTTTGTTTATATAACAGTTACTGAAGTTTATTCATGTACCAACAGCTTTTTTGATCAGAATTTAGTCAGCTGCTGGGCTGGCTATTCTCTTAAGGTTCTAAACAAGATAGATCCAGCTAAGAAAAGTAAGCAACCATTAATTCATAACTGGATAAATGTTCTGCTTTCAAATTTCATTTTTTGGGGAAAAAGATCAGTGGACACAGCAGTCCTGTGTTGGCTTTCATTTTGCCGTGGGTAATCCACAGTGAGTGGAACACAGCAGTTGAAAAGGACTGGTTTGTGTCTGTACACCCCGTACTTCGCAGGTTTGGCACATTTATTTATTTGTTAAATAATATTTATTATGACATCTAGACTACTCATGTTACTACTGAAAGCATCTATGATTTCATAGCCTAGGAATAGTTCAAATATACTTGTAATATATATCAGCTCCTGTCACTGTTGGCAGTGACAGTAAATCTTTATTCAACCAAAAACTAACAAGCAAGCATTCAGAGCAGGTGCTTTTGAACAAGGCACTGTTAAAGTAACATGTAGTTTGAAAGGAAATACCAAAGTATTACGCCAATGTTATGCCAAAAAAATGGCAAATGTCCATTTTTATGGCCACTCGGCATCAACAACCCAAGCCAAGTTTGACCGATGTTGGCTTTTAGTACAGGTGTGGTGTCACATACTTCTATTTAAAAATTTAGGAAATGTAATCAGTGTACAGGCCCAATCATTTCAGTATCAATAGATATTTAGTCATGCAAAAAACCAAGTTATATTAAATATAATCAGTGTTGGGGAAAGTACTAAAATATATTTGTACAATTTGCTTCTTCACGTGTCTTATTCAAATCTGCTGAAATCTTTGAAGGTGAAACATTTCCAAGTACTAATTAGAACTATGCAAGGTGTCCCTGTGGTGTCAAACACAGTACTAGAGATGGTGGAGTAGTAACATTTTCAATGGAATTTTGACAGAAAAGTCTAGTCTGGTGCCTTCTTTTCAAATATGACAAAACCATTCCTCGATATGATAACCAGCTCGGTTTTTCCTTTTAAAGAACAGAGAGGAGAAAAAAAGCATGTTTCCACTTAACCATGAGGTACGTTCAAGGGAAATCACATTGTTGAAGTTGGCTTTCAGAGAAAAGAAAGCCAAGTTCCTATTTGTCATTGTTCTTCAATTTGTGCCCTGCTGTTTTAGAGGTGGATGTATTCTCAGTGGTTCAGCAAGTTTAATTACATATATATGACAACTCTATAACTGATGTTCTGCCAGTAACTGACAAATTAGTGCCACGGTAAGTCTTTTCTGTTCTGCATAAAGCAGTCCATAAGCTTGATATGTTATCACTTCCTGCACAGTACTGCATTCAAGCAATCTCTGTTGTGGACTTCATGTACAGAAACCAAGGGAGCTATGCATATTCGAGAGTGTTCAAACATCATGTCCTACATAACAGCAGTCAATAGAGCTACGGCTAGGTCTATTGTCTATGCGTCTCCAGGCATTTCCAATGGAGCGAAGACCTAGACCTAGCTTCTAGACAAGAGATTCAGATGGAGCCTAAGCAAAAGCCTGCCCAGAATCATTAGGTGTAGCAAGAGAGTCTGTAATATGGACAATTGAAATTGTTATGTTCACGTGGATTTAAAGAACTCAGTGTACCAGATTTTATTCAAATTTAACTTGCAAAAGGCATATTTGTCTTGTCATATATCTGTCTTGATGTTTTTCACTTGTTTTTTTTTTAGGAAATTATGGGCGGCAAAGGAATATGTTAGCGACAAGCCATTTGCGAGTTAAATTGGAATAAAATTTTTTGCACTGAATTGTCTGACTGCATATAAACATGATGATTTGAATTCCCCAGACTAAAGACACTGTTGCTATACCTCGTGATTCGGGGCAAGCTTTCGTATAGCGGCCACCATCTCTGGCATGGACTGGTTCCTTTGTGCCCTTCTTATCCATTGAGAACAGTGTACTGTTGCAAGGCATCTCTTATGTAACTAAGCAAAAGCTTGCCCCGAATCACGAAGTATAGCAACTGTGGTTTTAGTAAGGAGAATTCCCGTTATGTTCACATGAATTTAAAGAACTCAGTGTACCAGATTTGGGTCAAAATTAACTCCTAAAAGGCTTATTAGTGCATTATCCTTTACACCATGGGGTTGCTTGTGTGCATGTAATATCATACAACATTGACTGATGTGATGTATAACAGTGAGTGTGACATGTGGTTATGTCATCCTGGCAAAATAGTATCCAATACAGAGGTATGACAAATTGGGTTATTCAGTAGAACTTTGATATCATTTCGGTGTAATGTAAATTTTTCATCACTGCATTTAATTTTGGCAGGTTTACATGCAGAGTTATTTATGAAATCAGTTTCAAGTCTGTGTAACTTTTGAATCGGTGAACGTCAGATTGTTTAAAAAAAAAAGAACAAAGTTGAACTTGTACTAAGACCCACTGATGTGAGCCTACTTATGTATGGACACATTTGATGCCCTGATTTTGATGGGTTACCCTCATGTAAAATGCAGTCTGGTTTTGCGAATTTGTGCTGTGGGCAAATTTTATTTGCAAATCGGTGTGTCTTTAAAACAAATTCCTATTCACATCCCAGCATTTGTATTGGCCATTGTGAATGCATGGGAATAATAGCTAGGTATGGAGAACAAATATCAGCAATGTCTGTTTTTCTGGTTGTTTCCTTGCTAATAGTACTAATGGAACTGTCAAAAGCAACTAATTAATGTACATTGAGTGCCTGTAATATTAATAACAATCTGTATAATACATACATTGTACATAAACAGTGAAAGGCATATGCCTGGTGATGATTTCTAATCAAATCAAATAAAACATCATTTGAAAAATTGTACTGACACATTTTTTAATCTAGCACCTTAATTCTTCCCATATTTCCCAATGTATAGACCATTATTTTGCTCTGTCAAAAGTGTCATTTTTGCCAATGTGGCTGACCTTGTTTACAAAACCAGGACAATTCACAGTTTTACAACCATTTCAGGCAAACATTAAAATATTTAATGAAGAAATAAATAAGTATTGAATGAAAATGACTCCTATATCGATGCTGAGGAGGCAATCATACATTTTAATTGTGGTAAAGGTTGTTGCCAACCAAGCATAAACTTCCTGGGAACTTTCAAAAGAAAAGGTCTATCTAAAAGACATGGCCTTTGACCCAGTTAAAGGTTAAAGGCCAAAGATTAAAGGTTAACATATGGTTCACATAAGGAAGGGATTTCTCATTACCTCACATTCAAAAGTCTATGCTAAAATAATTTCCTCTTGACCACGAAATGTCACTGGACTCGGATTAGTTTTCATGTTTTATTCTCAATGTACATACAAACAGAAATTAAATACCTTTTTTATCAACTTGATTTTTTTCTTTTGATGGTGTTCATTTGTAAAATAACAAATTCCTGTCAAACCTGTGAAATAAGCCTATTCACTTCATCATTTGGTCCAGGTTTAAACATTCTACTCTACCATACAGATCATGAATACATGTACATTAATAAGTTGCACTTCATATGTTTTTTGTTTGCGTACACTACTGCACCCATGATACCTTTGGTGTCTTGACGTTCCACAAGGCTTAAAGCAAAAACCAACTTACAAGCAGTGTTACCAAAAATGTGTTTACAAAATGTGGTACAGACGATAGCCATATATGTGAATCCTAGAAAGTTTGAAATTCAGAAATACCATCAACATGTTACAATGATTAAGAGTAAAACAAGAATTCATATGCTCTTGTCAGTGTCCTTTATACATGATTCGTTCATCATTCATTATCAAATTTACATTTTTATTGCATTTACTTTTGTTTTCTTCGATCATTTCACCTGGAAAGAGACTCACTCTTTAACATTCAGTAACTGTGGAAACAAAACTTGATATTACAAAGGCTAGCATACAAATCTATTTACCCAAAAGCACCAGATGAACGATGAATTGAAAAAAATCAAATTGGTTAAAATCAGGTCCACTGATTCTCAGAGTGTCAAATTATTGGCAAAACTGCCTCAAACTGGATGGAAAACGAGCTGATGTCTGTAACTTTCAACATGCATTCAAGAAAATTAAAATAAATTAACCTTTCCTTCAGAGCCCTGATAGGCTGAACACAAATATGGCAAGTGCAATATACATACTGCGTTTCTACACTGAAATAAATATGCAACATTTTTAACATGTACATCTCAACAGGTTTGAACCAAGTCACCAATTGTTTTAATAATTTCAGAGGTTCACAGATCAATGAGGACAAGCTTTGCATCGATGTCATGTCAACGTAATATCTTTTCCCGAATGTGAGGTGATGTAGTCTGTACCTTTTCAACATGAAAAATGTAGGGACAAGAGTAAACAGGAAGCACCACGCAAAATGTGAAGGGTTTAGTCAGTGCATGATTATGAAATATGTTCCAATACTCTTGAAATGAGTCCAACTATGTTCTTCTTTGGAAACCTTTGCTATGCTTGTACTCCTACTATTGCCAAAACTGTGCTGAAGTTTTACAACCTCTCATTTCTTGTTTTCCCATTTGAGGCAAGGGTAATTATTTGTAAACTCTCTTTTAAAAAATGCAGGCTGTTTGCCACAAACCTTACTATCAATGTTACAGGCAAGCCAAAAAATAAAACTAAATAAAAACTGCAATAAATAATGTAGCCTTTGATCGTATAAGCTCTGTTGAAACACAGAGATATACACGATGCACTGACAGTCATTACTACTTTATGTTACACCCAATTCTATTTACATATGTTCAGTATATAAAAAAAACATAAAAATTACTGTCTTACTAAAACCACAAGGTGAATAAATTAAACAAGTTAAGAAATGGGCCGGGTTGTTCAGAAGACTCTAGGTTGCATACAGGTTAAGTTCAAACCACTTGGAATACCACAAAACCACCAAAAAAGTTCAACACTTAGTCTGATGGTGACTCTTGTCAAATGTATTGTACAAATGGATTTTTAAAATCATCTGCATGAAGTGTTCCTGTAACGCTAAGCTTTCTGGTGTCGAGGGATGGATCTATGTGTTGGACAAGGAGATAACCAAAGGGTTGAACTACAGAGTATACTACTGTTTTGACCAATGAACAATATACACACTAATTTGAAAAATAATTTCTTTCTCTCATAATTGCATAGAACCAGCCTATCAATTAATTGCAATAACAGTGGTAAATGTAGATGTTCTTCAATATGGAGATATTTTGTATTTTTTTTAATGTAAATGAACTTGATGCCTAATTTTTTTGCTTATATTTCTGACTTGTCATTATAAAAACGACAACTTTTTTAAAATCAGGTTGAGTCAAAAGATCTCTCTTAAAAGTGGAGGCAAAAGCAGGCAAACAGACTTGAGTTGTATTTATCTCATATTTACATGTAGTGTATATGTACTTTTTTCCTGTCCTTCTGAGCAGAATGCTACACATGCCTAGAGATGTGATAAACGTGCCTCAAAATCCCACATGGATTTTGTTTAGAGGAAAGCCTGGTAGAATTCCCCCTTTTTTTCATAAAACACAGACTGTAGTGAACCCTACTTAACATGCAATCCCATACCCCATCCTGGGTTTCAAATCTCCCTGTCCGTTCCAGACTGTGGTTAACCATATCAACCCAGGCTAATCCATTTAAGTTGAGCTCCACCTGGCTGTATCTATTAAAATCCTACAAGGTCGGATCCAGTGCAGTTGGTTGGCTGAGGGGCACAAGCCTAGCTACATGACGCCTTTTCTTGCGCACACCCCATATCTGCCACTAGCAATGTCCCTTGGTGGGATCAACACAGAAGACTATCTGAGACAAGTACTTTCTGACTTGCATGACGGACTTTAGATTCACAGTAGAAAAACAAAGCTCTTCGTACAAATGGGACAACTGTTAAACGGGGAACGACCAACACCCCATAAAGCACATGGTGGGAGTCATCAAAGGTCCACCTCTCCGTTATATTTTTTCTTGGCATTGTCGTCCCAGTAAAGTGAGTAGTCGGCTGCGTGCTGGTACTTCCGTTTCTCTTCTTCCTTCCTTTTGGCATTCCGACTGGAAAAATTTAGGAAAGAAACAGCATAGAATGGGAAAACTGTAAGAGGACAATGCACAGTCAGTCTTAGGAATGCTTTGAAATTCACTGTTGATTTTGCTTAGTTGAAAAAAGAAATCTATTCTCTGTTGGCATGTGGCACTTACAAAGACATTCATCCTGTGGCTTTCTTGTTAACATTCTCAAATAATCAGTATTTTGGGACTGCGGCCTTATTCCTTTCGTCAAAACTCAAACTGTCACATGGATGCCACGGCGAAATGAGGCCAAAATATAAACAGCAAACTGTGGGGAACTTACCAGCCATAAATAACGGCGACGACAATGACAACAACAAGAATAAGGAATCCAACACAACCGACTATGGCGTAACCCCACGGTGGAATATTTTCTGCAATGGAAGTTTACAAAATGTCTTATTATCAGCTGCTGTGAGGATTATTGGATGGTATATTTTGGGTCAAAAGAGGGTGGGGAAGGAGGATGAACAAAAGGAACCCCCTCTAGACAGAATATTCGCTGCCACTAAAAGTAACAGTCTGAGTAATAAGAAATAATTGTATGGTTTATTCAAGAAACTCCCTGTGAGAAGACCAGTTGATTAGTGTAATCTTGCAGTGGTCGTGTTCGAGGAGCATAAATGGGTGTGGTCTAGCCTGTTTTTTTCATCGCCAACTTCTGGGTTTGGGACATAATGGCGGGGAGCAAAGTCCTCAAGGGGGTGGGTGTAGCTAGAACCATTTTTTCCTGAGTTATGTGTCCCGTATTCTTGAATTTGACACACTGAAGCTAATGTGTTCCTCCTATTGCACTAATTGTGAGAGTCCGAAATCCTTCAATTTCAATCAAATTTCTCACACAGCCTTGTCATTTCATCTTACCGAAGAAACCCTTTGATTCTGGTTGTCTGCCAGACCCTTTGTTGACGGTGTTGGTCTCAGTGGTGGCACCTTGGTTGGCCTGGTTGGCACCCGAGGTCTGGTGTGGTGTTATGTATTCCCCATTTGCATCCTGTATCATGATCCACTCAGTGCATTCAATCAATTCTCCCGTGGTCTCACTGGTACCAGAACAGATAGGACAAGTTGAAGCAAATCACAAAACTATATGTGTACCTCGTCAAGTCTGTTTTCATTACATTTGTGTATGAAGCAGTGTGACATAGGCATCATGTACTTTGTCCCAAACTTGTCCAATAACGTGATCACACTTTCTGGTTGATCATTTGTGCATATCAAGGCACACCTGCATATTACATATCAAACCTTTCAAGTACACCAAAATCATGTTACTATTGATCAATTTGAACCACATGGGTTGCCGAGGTCAATGACTGAAATTTCACCATCAAACTGGGACTATGAGTAGAATGCATTGTTGACAGTTACCTACAAAGGGTCATTGGATACCAGACCATGCTCAATTCTCAATGTGTAATAAGCTAACTGGAATTATCTTCAGCTGGACATTTCATAAGAAACACTATACAGACCTGCCAACCTCTTGGATCACAAAACTGTATTCTGAAAATTCAAAAGTTTTTTCATAAAAAAATTTGTTTTGCATAAAATGAGCATATTCCTCCATGTGATCGTTTTGACCGCTTGTCTGGATTGGGTCTAGTCCAAGTAACTTGGACTAAATTGCATCAACACTTGTTCACACATAAAATAATCACTTGAGAGATCCATTAACGAGGTGAAGAGTGAAATGGCCCTATTCTCACTTGAGTTGACCACATTTCCAAAATTTGAAATCTTGAAATGCACATCTCTTGTCAAGGCTTTGGGAATTTCCTGTCATGGGTTTTGTTGCCTGCTCGCTGGCCGGCCGTAAAATGACTCCATCCTTATTTATTTCCATGTTTTTTAACTTGAGGATTGGTCTTGTCAAAGATTTCATCCAAATCAGACCCTCTTTAGACAATTCAATACACAGGTGTTGCACGGACATGTTGATGAGTCTATGTCCAAAATTGTCATAAACAACAAAGCATAGAACATGTAAAAGCCATGTAATAATGTACAACACAATTTCTTTGCCCCGCACCAACTGCCACAGAGCCCTCTATCTATCGGCGAAAGTGGAAATTTACTGACCTTATTTCAAGCCACATATTTATGGTGGCCATGAAATGTGCGCTACATATAATACTGGAAATTATTTGTCACTACTGCCACTGACGCACAAGCGGCTTTAAAGAGTTCCACTAATGCACCGTGAATATTGATATTTTTTGGGCAGCCAATCACAGCATAGACTTAATGATCCGGTGGTTGCTAGATGTTGTTTACACACAAGGTTTGTACATGTGGGTGCATATCCTGTTTTCAAGTACATGTACACTGAAAATGTACGTGTGCAAACCCATATGTACATGAACATCAGCAGCCTTTGTTTTTTCTAGCATAATGTACACTTGCAACCATTAAGCTACGATTTTTTTTAGGCATGTCCAAATCATCAAAACCTGTATTTTATGGAGAAGAAAACGTATGGTCACATTTTCAAGAGTTTCCTGTAGGAAATACAGCTAAATAAAGGTAGTAATAGTTGGCAGGTCTGAATATACATTTCTCTACACCACAGACAATTGCATGTGTACGCCTGTACAGACATCATTCCGTTGTTGCTACATGTTTCCACGGTGACATTAACACAATTTAAGGTGCAACTTTTTGTGATGGGGAGGGGGGGTCAAGGGTCACTGTGGTGACAAGCTCACTCCCAATACCTGAATTTTGGTTCGTAACCCTTCTTGCACCGGCATACATTGTCTTCACTGCAAAAGGAATGAAACAGTGTGCACTCTGGCACACAGATCACCGATGTACTGGGCTTGACATCCATCAGACAGGGACCTGGGATAGGACAATAAGCATTCCAAGTTTAGGGTAATGGTCTAAGTTAAATAACAACACCTACCACATCTAAGGGTGAGTTCGATCAGTGGCAATTTGTAAACCACTGGTTGATTTTCCCTGATGCCCTATACATATTTAATGCACTGACTGGTCGACTATTTGTCGCTGATCAAACTTGCCCTAAGACAAAATAATTACAGACTATTTTTTTTACCCATCCACTCCCCCCTCCTGAAAAAATAAGATAAATGGGATTAAGACATCACATTTTTAAAGTGTTCAGGAACACGGAAAATGAGAAACCATACAAATCATTTCACAAAAAGGTAAAAAGCTAATCAATAAAACTGCATAAATGAAATTAAAAACAATTACAGGAGGCCCCTTTTGAATGAAGCCCAGCATCAACACACTTATTGATATCTGTGACCATCAAGGACTGCATCAGTTAATGACAACATACACATAATACAAGATGCCATTTGGAGACTTCAGCACTAGAAAGATACTTGGACCAGCAGAAAACACACAACCATTGTTCCAGTGTAAGTTTGGGACCATCAAGCCCTCCCCCCCCACATTTTGAACTTCCAATCCCCTTTACATCCCTCTTCAATGTGAAACTGCAGTTCTTGAGAGTCACAATTTAACAACAGATAGCACCAGTTCATTGAGCAAAGAGTCTTAGTGCACCATATTCATAAAGTTGGTCCCACCGCCCCCATCGGATTTCTAGATCTGTCCCTCTTATTTACCCTACAACCTGGACAAGAGCTCGGCTAGCAACACTGATCCCATGGCTGTGTGTACTGCACTGTCTCACCTGTGACGTTGAGTCCGTCTGACCTCTGGCACCAAACCTCCCTCTTTCCTTTCTTCCATGGTCCGGTGTGCCACCGGAAATCGTAGCAAGTGTCCCCTGTGGACAGACAACAGCTCCAAATCACTCGCTCGTGATCTGGTCAGTTTTCAAGCATTTCGCAAAGGGGATGCTACCACAAAGCATAGTGGATGGCACATGCTTCCGCTCACGGGAAATCTAACTGCTGTTTGTTTATATAGAAACGACTGGCACAGCCTCACACAACTACAGCTGGGCCATTTTTAAGCCTACAGAACCATTATCACTTTAATCAAAACAAGTTGGAATGCAGATATATGCTGTTTAACGTAAGTGCTTTAATGTGTATTTTCTGTGCTTATTTTAAACACTGCTGACTACTGCAATATCTGAGTTATCAGGGGCTTTCTACTCCCTAGATTGATCTCAAGCCGTGATCACTAAACATGTGGGCAACAACGCATCTACACCTCTCTCACGGTGTTAAAAGTACATGGTTACTGGATCTCTGTCTCTCAGTTTGTTTTGGAATCATGGCACTGACTGGTCAAACCATCAAAGGCCAGGTTTTACTGAATCAGTATGTTCTATTCAGGCAGTCCATACACTTGATCAGTTTTCTCTGAGCAGCACTGCCTTCCACAGTGGTTTTCAACCCTCTCCCCACGCCCACATCATGGCAACCACTGCCTGTTGGATGCCTCATCATGCTTACCATTACATGGTCTGATCTCCAATTCGTCAGAGGGACAGCCACTGTTGGGACCCACTGCTGCTCTTGATCTCACCTGTATACCCTCATTGCCTTTAGAAAAGTCAAAAGTAGAAATAAAGCTAAGACTTGAAAGAATAACTAGTTATTCCCCAGTTCTTCTCAGAACCACACACACTCAAGAAAGAGATTGATATGTGGTGCAACCGCAATCATTTTACTCTTCCAGTAGAAAAGCTTTTTTCAATGAGAAGCCTTTTTTCACTTTCTGACAAAAATTTCTTCAAATCATGGAGAACTCGTTAGAATGGATGAAATCAAACAAAACTGTTCCCAAGTCTACAATTTAGCTGCAATGACTGTTGATTGTCAACAACTTGAAGCTTTTTGCAAACAATGACATCAGTTTCATATCCTTAAAACCGAGCGTTTATGTGACAAATGTCAGATAGCAAGTATCTCCGTGAACCTTGCTCGGGGTCAGAATTATATATTCAAAAAATATTTAAAATATTTCAAAACAGTTCTGACTGAAAACGTTTGATGTGCGTTATAACTGTGGTTTTGTGATGATGTCCAGCGAGAACTAATTTGTACTTCAAAGTCAGACATACTGGCCACTCAACTGACAAGCCACCAGTTCTTGGCCAAACTCATTGATATGAATTGCCGAACAATTACAACAGGTTTACGGAAGCGAATCCTTCTTTATTTTTGAAGCTTGTTTCCTTACCCACTGTCCTCCCTTGTAGACAGGATACGTAGCAGTCACTCCAGCTACTCCACTGGGTGTGTTGGCATTCACCGGGGCAGGGGATGTTGCATTCCTGCTCTCTCTGTCCACCAGATGAAAAGGAAATATAGATTACAGACACTGTTATGAACAGATCATTCTGAAATATGCAAATCTTATTAACAAGTCACAGTGCCTCAGGTTTGACTCACAAAATCTTTGAAACCAACAAGAGCAACTGAAACTTCTGCAGTTGACAAACTCTGGTAGATTTGACGGGAAGAGGAAAAAAGGAAAAAAAAATATGTTCCCAAAATAAACTCTTATTTCTCCATTCTTACAATGCAAAACTAGATATTTTTTGTTTAAAAAATATATTTGATATCCACGAAGTAATGCGTAAGTAACTAGCCACTCTTGATTACAAAGCTGTTCTGAAAATGAAAAGCCTAAAAAAAAGGAAGACCTAACAAAGGCTGGAGTTCCCAGTAAACCTGTCCTACCTCAAGCCTCTCGCGTCCCAGCTCTGTGAAGTTGATGTTACTCTGGTAGGCCCCAGACTGACACAGTTCCTCACTGACGAGGACGCCGTCCTCCTGTTGACAGGTGACGTTGCGCTGTCGATATCCGATGCCACAATCGCCACCCTAGTGTCAATGAAAACAAAATCCCAAAAATGATTCTTGATGCTTGTAGTTTCAGGCATATCTCTCATTTACATCTCGTGTCTGTGTACATGCTTTGATTAAATAATAAATATATAACTCTCTCTCAGTAAATAAAAAAAGTATGACTTACGTCAAAAATTATGATCGGAATGTAATCTCAGGGATTAGGGATTTTCTGACCAGCTGAGAGTTTGACAATATATTGCTTTACCTGATGTAAATGTGTGTGATGCTGGCACAAAAGGATGTGCTCTTTCACTATATGGACTATCACTATACTGTGTGTAGAGATTAATCTCCTTTTACATAAAAATATGCTGATGATACTTGCCATGTTGGTTTCATTTTGAACAGTGATGTCAATGGATGTTGGGCTAATGTGAACAATTTTGTAACATGGTGTTGTGACAACTATCATGCAATCAATGCTATCAAATGTAAATAAACTGCCTTTTACTTCAGGAAACCCCCCACCCCCCAACAACAATCATTCTGAATGCAGGTATTGATGTAGTTTCAGAGGGAAAATGTTCGGGTGTGTGTAGTGTACTGATTGCAAACTTAACAGGAAGTGTCAATCCTTGTGAAATAAAACCATGCAACAGATCAACTTGAGATGCTAGTTAGTAAAAACACCACTCGAAAGAGTCAGTATTTATTACCCACTCAATATTGAAGAATATTTTGGACTAAGAGGGCTCAACTAAGAACAATGAAGCTTATATAATTTTATTGCCATAAATTTACGGTGTTTTCCTCTAAAAATTGCCATAAATTTACTGGTTCTTTTCCTAAAAAGTTTTAATGGGCCAATATATCCAACTTCCAGTGGTGAATGATGTTGTCATTTCTCTGGTTTGAAGTGGGAATTATTAAGGATTCTTTAAAAAATAGAATGTTGTGTCAGTGTCCATAAAAACTGGACATTTATGCTACTTTTTCACCGTGGATTTTCATTCAAAATTTGTTTACAGATTTCACAAATTAGCAGGCTTTTGTGTCTATTTCTCTGAAATTTTCATTATTCCACATTCAAACAGCAGAGGTCATGATCTGAATGAATCCTGAACAGACCATTTTTTTTCATGGGCAGGAGGTTTCTGACACCAATTTCTCAACTGCCCCACAGCCAATCTCCTTGAAACTTGGCATATGTGTTATGACATCCATTGAAACTAAAAGCTTGGGAAGTATTGATTTAAATGTTTTATTTACGTGGCCATTTTTATTTCACACAGGCTTACACACTGAAAACTTAACAATTTAATTTTTTTTATTTAACAATTTTGAAAAATAAAAGTATGTTTGATTTCCATAATGTAGAGTGACGCTAATGTCTAAACATATTATTGCAGATACCTCAATATAATCACAATGCATTGAAAAATTGTACAAGTTTACTAAATTGTCCTGAAATATACATGTGATTCCTACCAAAGTACTTCCTGATAGATGATGTAATGTCTACAGTAAACATATTTCTACTACAGAAGAGCTTTTTCACAGAAGCGATTTAGGATCATAAGTGGTGTGAACTTTGAGCTATGAATGTAACCTGGGCATTCCCGATGGGACAAAGCATTGTGTTGGGTTTTAGTCATCACAATGCTTACCACCATGAGTGGAGGACACTGCAAACGACCAATGGTATTACCATGACTGCTGGGTTTATCTACACGCCTCGCATTTGCATTACCATAAAGAAAAGCTCAAAATACAGCGTAATAAAACTACCTTAGAATTGTTCTGAAATACTCCTGAAAGAGCAGGTGGTAATGCAATGTCCCTGTTATTACATAGTGTATTTCTTAAGATAGTAACTACATCAGTGTCAGTCTTTGAAAATACAAAGTATTGCTCGGGTTCAGCCACTACCGGTAGTTCTTTTGAACATATTCTCCTTTCTTCTGTTTAATTTTTCACATTGTTGAAGTCTAAGACCAAGTTTGAGAAAGGACATCCCAAATCTCCTGCGGATGAAACTGTTTCTCTGAGTTCAGTAGAGCTGTTTTAACAGCATATGTGACATCTTCAAAGCTGGAATCTGGATATGGAACCAATGTCTGTCACTTGAACAAAATAATATTCTTAATGTTTTCCCACTGCTCATCCTGCTGAAATAGAACATTTAATTTCCTTGTTTCTGACTTGAATCTCTAGTTTCTAGTTGCCAAATGGGCTTGAGGAATCCCTTCTGAAATTCCACATGTTTGGATATTATCTTAAGACCAAATCACGAAAAGTGGTGAGATGAACAGATGTACTGTCAAATCTGCCAAATGAGGAAGTTAGCTAGAATGTGAACAGATTCTGTCATCAAACATCTTCTGACTTCGGCAAAGGAAAGGAAGCGTCTGCTTAAACATCACACTCACTTTAGCAAATAGCATTGGGAAGAGGGAATGAAAAATAAACAAGAAAGCTTTGTTTTCTTTCAATGTGAGTCACAAGTGATTTTTTGTGTGTGGGGAGGTCCCAAATTCTCAGGATTATGGAGTAAACTATTATTAGATGAAATCTAACATTAAAAATATTTTTTTGTTTCTTTCATTTTTTTTCAGGTTGTTCTGGTTTGTACTAGCCTGTGGCCTTGAATGAGAACAAAAAGCACAACACATAACATACCCGGAAACTGAGACTGGAATAAATGGCTTCATTCGCTCTGTGTACTGCCAAGTACAGCAGAGACCATTCACTATTGACATAAGGCTGGTGACACCAGGGTACAGGTACTTCCCGAGGTGCATTCACACAGGTCTTCATGGTTTAATCAGCCAACCGGAACAACATGAGGGAAAACCAAATACATATGTAAACTTTTGGACAATGAGCGAGGCTACGAAACACGGTGGCAAAAGTCACGGCATCTCAAGTAACTGCTCTGTAAGGGAAATACTGAGGTTTTTACGCCGACTGGACTGCGCTTTGTACGAGGGACTAACTCTAGGTGTAGTAATATCCTCTTTAAAATTCTGACTGCTGACTGCACACTGATTCTAACTCTGATGGCACTGTGGCAAAAAGAGATATCCAACAAGCCAACCTACTGTGTGGTATGAATGAGCAGCTACACTTTGTGTGGGGTTGAATGATCAGTGGACCCAACTGTGTGCTGTACTGTGGGGTGAATCATAAAATATCTATTTCTGTCACTGTATCTAACTATGTGAGGTTGAATGATATTTTTGGTTTACAGACAATCTTGGTGTCATTGTCAAGAACAAGTTTAGGACATTATCAAACACAAGTGAGCCTGGATAAATAAAAGCATTGGCAATCAGTGAGAAATCTGGAATCCTTCAACATGTCTGACAACAAAAAGCCTCCACACAGCGAGCAAGCTCGTCTCCATCACCAGCGGAGCTCCAGCCTGACTGAGTCTTTGACCCTCCACTGGCCACAACTGTCCTCGCCGGTGTTTTACATGCGCAACAGCATGCAGCGGGGCATCAATGCCAGTTTTGACCAGAGAACAATGGAAGACCACGGAGTGGAGACTGAAGAGTCTCCGCCTGCCTTGGAAATCCATCTTCCCAATGAACACTGCGTCAATCTGCGGCCTCGAAACAGAAGATGTAACAGAACACGAATGGTCTCCTTGCCTGACAGCCATTTTGACTCACACCAAGACTTTTTGTCTGCAGTCGGTGACACCAGCCAAACCTCATCACTCCCCACTCAGCAAAGCCCATCACCCAGTCAGGAGGTTTCTGACCATTCATCGGCAACATGTAATTGGGAAGAGGAAGATCCATACATCACCATGTTACCCTTGAAGCTCGGCACACCACTGGGAAACAACTGGAATAGTGTAAGCAAAGTGTGCAGTCTTTTTACAAGTACTTTAAGCGGTATCTCTATCTGGGCAGAGTTGGAAATGATAACTTCAAAAATATTTTGTGACACTTTTGTTTTGGGATTTTCAATCAAGTTGCATTTTCCTTGTGGACATCATAAATGCTATTAATCATTTTTGGAGGGGTGGGGGAGAAATGGGGAAAAAAGGGTTTCACAGGGCACTTTTGCATTTTGTACTTAAAGTTTTAGGGGGAGGGAAACAGCTGTTTGAGTGCATTCACATCTAACAGAGCTAAAATGTTGATGAAGTCTTTACTTTTGGGGAGGGACTGAAACTGAGTTTTTACAGGTAACTGACCTATCGTGATGAATTTACTGATTGCAATTTTTGGACATTTTGTGTACTTTCAGGCATATGAAAACATGCCCCCTGACGAAACCCTAAATACTGGTGACATCACAGCAGCCACTGTTCTTCATGACATTGCACACAATCATCTTACCTGCAATTTGTGCAACCGGCGTTACTCAGAGCCCAAGCTGCTGGACTGCCTGCACAACTACTGCGCACACTGCCTAGAAAGTCTGCTAGAGAACAGTGAGGGTCCAAAGCGAAGTGTGATTGATTGCCCCATTTGCCACAAAGCCACTGAGCTGACGGGGGAGAACGCTGTGGCACAACTCCGAGATAGTACCCAGATTGGGGCCCTCCTTGAGGATGTGGAGAGGTTGGAGGGCTACCTGAGAGGGTCAAAGATTAAGGCCTCACCTCAACAACGTGCTGAAGACGGACAGACACTGTGCCTGGATGACAAAGGGTCCACAAGCAGTGCTCCTGCTGCGACACAACACGGCTGTTTGAATGAGGATGATCAGTCTGGAAAAACATGTACCAAACACCCAGGAAAACACCTCAAACTATTCTGCAAGGCCTGTCAGAAGTTGATTTGCAGGGAATGCACGATATATGACCACCATGCATCCCAGCACACGTACGTGGATGCTGCATCGACTGTGGCTGCATGTAAAAACACACTAACTGAAATGCTGCCCATGCTGAGAAGAGACCGGGAGGAATTCACGCAGGCAGCAAGCTCGGCCAGGAATGCCTACTGCCGACTCCAAATGATGATCCAAGGCACCTTGAACAAGATGCTCCAGACGGAGGAACAGGAAGTTGCTAGAGTAAGAGCTAAATGTGCTCACATGCGAATGGAGGCAATTGAATTGGCCAAGGAGCGTGCAGGCCAGATAGAAAAAATATATGCAGGGCACTTCAATCGTGCACAGAGAGCCAGTCGCACAGTGGGCAGGATCAAGCAGACCCTGGACCACTCGACTAACCTGGATATCCTCAAAATGAAGGAGAGCCTCTTTGAAGACATTGCAACCGTCATCAACAAGGAGGTGATCACCCAGGCGCATAACCTCTCCTTTCTGGACTTCAGGGGCTGTTCGCCCAGCCAGCAGCCCAACACTGCCTTCGGTCAACTTCTGACGAAGGAACGGTGGAAGATGAGGAGAGAGTTTGGATTGCAGCCCACAAAGCTGTTCAAACAGGTCGGCTTTGTGGCAGTGTACTCCAATGGAGACGTTGCAGCTACAGATGTGGAAACCTGGACACTGACTGTGGTTGGCGGTAAACGTCACAAAAGTAATTTGAAGGGGATGAACGAACTCAGCAAGAATGTGCTGATCAGACCTTATGCAATAGCAATCAACACGAATGATGAACTGGTCATCATAGACAACTCTAGAGTTAAGATGTACGATATACACATGAAGTTTCTCACTCAAGTCCCCACCTCCTTCCCAGAGCATTTAGTAAAGAACACCTTTGGCAACATCCTTTCTTGCCTGGCCCTGGACAAGAACAACAAGATTGCCGTGGGGCATCGCGGCAAGGAGATTGTCTCCCTGCATCAGGCAAATGGCGATCTGATCAGTGTGGTGCCTGCTAAAATGATTGACACCCAACTGGCAATCAGCCCGCAGCAAAGGCTGGTCTATACCAACTACGAGGCCAGGAAAGTGATCTCCATAGACTTCAATGGTGAGCAGGTGTTCTGTGTGGACACCCTTGACAAGAAACCGACTGGAGTGTGCTGTGACAACGCTGGATACATCTATGTGGCCATGCACACAGAAAGTATCGGTCAGTGTGAAGTCCATCAATTTGATCCCGATGGCGTAGCTATGGGATGCGTGGTGAACAAATTAGAAAACCCCCTTGGGTTGACCTTCTCTAGAAATGAGGAAATAGTGGTGGCAGACAAATACTCAGTTAAGATGTATCACAGAACCTGAACAGAATGGGTTACAACATTGGACAGACAGGGTAAGGTTATCATAGGATTAAGAAAAATTTCAATCATTTTGTTTAAATGAAATGTGATCTGTGAAAAACATTGGATGTCGCCGGACTTGTTTTGGAGATAATGGCAAAATAGTCTCTAATTTTTTGGACAATTTCTGATTTTTTGGCTACCATTTCTATTGTTTATAGCCAAATAATTCTTTTTTATTTTTTAGAGTTGCAATCCAGTAGTCAGTCAATTTTGTGTTCAGTAATGTAAATGGAATTTTTACTCAGAACTTTAAACCTTGATTTCTATTCTCAATATGAGGTCAGCCACTTTTTTATAACTTTCCAAGAGCTTAACTCAAGTAACAGACAAGCTAGAATGAGGAACTAACCAGTTTGAAAATGGTACAGTGTCCTTATGAAGTTGATGTATACAATATAAAGATGACAAATTTCACCATGTACAGAGAGTTCTCCCAGATCATATCACAAATATAATGCACCACTGTTACAGAACAAGCTGAAATTCCACGAAATCAAATTTCTTCTGAAAAAAAGTAAACTTCATCTTTCTGATTTTGAAGATTTTTGATAAGCTGCTACCTCAAAGAGAAAAACCAATGTATTAAACCACAGTTACATGTCATTTTTTTTGTAAAGGGGATGTGAGGCACAGTGTACTGCGTTATGAAAAATCCCAAAGTAATGGGTTGTGGTTCTGCATTCTTGTAGCTGAGTTAGTTATTTTCAGATGTAAAGCAGCCCGGGGACTGGTGATTTTCTAACTTCCTCCCCTACAAAGGGGGCATGTGGCCAAGTGGTTAGGGCATGTGGCTTCCAATCATAAGGTTGGAGGTTCGAATCCAGCTGCTGGCAGTATGTTGTGGCCCTTGGCAAGCCACTTCACCCTGGCTTGCCTCTCTCCAGCATTAGCTGGGGAAGCAACCTGCAATGGACTGGGATCCAATCCAGGCGGAACAGAAACATTTCGGTTGTTTCATACCAAGAAAACTGGAGACAACACTGACCTGATGAGCCAAATTGGCTCAGACTAAACTTGCCTTCTCCCCTACAAAAACATGCTTACGGTTTATTAACAGATCCTTAAAAAACACGAAAGTTACATGGTTTATGAAGAATAGCTTAAAGTGTAGCTGCAGGATGCAGTAAGTAAGGATTACATGTAGATCAGGGATGCAGAGAAATCCAGTTAATATCCTGAATCCTTTGATTTTTAGGGCTGTCAAACAGCTACCAGAAATAAGACATGAGTTCACTCACATATGGTTACGATTATGCAAATTTTGCACTTAATATTTTGAACTGAGTGAGCAATTAGCAAAAGGTGAATCAAACCTTTAAAAATCCAGAACTCCAAGGGTCAAAACTCTAATATCTGGTGGAATCCAGATATATCAAACCCCCTAGCATATTTCAAGCTGGCTATCTCAGTGTGGGTGGGGATGGGGGTAATGCTGGGGATGGGGGGGAGGGCAAAAGTGCGAGTTACTCACCTTTGGCAGACATTGCCCCCAGGGTCCTGTCACCCATCGGTAGCATGGGCTGGGTATGCAAGGCCGCCATTGGTACAGAGACGACACGCAGGGGCGGCCCAGGTCATTAGCTGCTCGCAAGATGGTTCGGCTTCGTGTCCGACCCACTGTGAAGTCAAAGATGACATAGCTTTATCAAATTATTTTAAAGTGTTTAACTTTTATGTGGCTGTAAAGTGTGAATTGTAACATGTTGTTGAATTAAAATACTATGTTCCACAAACCAATGTACTGCAATGAGTTCAATGCTGGTTGGGAACGATGATTGGTGTTCAACTGAAATGTGAGCATAATGGCTGTCATTTTGATCACCTGCGTGGGGACCGTTGTTTTCTTTGTTCTGTATAATTTGTCTTGTTGATGTTATGTGCGGGGCTGCATACCCGCGGGTAATAGTAGTTTATTTTTACTTTTACAGTCCCTAACCCACATAAATGTTATTTGTCTTGTTATGTATTCGGATTTTTGTCCCTGGTCCCTGCTACTGCTTATGTTTACTTGTATGTGTGTTTTGGTTGTTTTTATATACATGTACATGTAATTTTTGTTCAACTTTGCTTTGTTCGTTCTCGTGATGGTCAAATAAATAAATAATAATAATAATAAAATTGATGTGAACCATAGCAGCGAACTTCGCATGAGTTGAAACAAGATCCATAGTTGATTTTACAGTGCAAATACAATACAACTCTGTTTACATTTGTAAAAAACTGAACTTAGAATGCTTCAATAAAATTTTTACTAAGTGCGACAGTACATCACTTTGAAAATATAGTGAGGAATATATACACATCCTCAGCTACTAGAGACTGAGGTACAATTGATAACTTGCAAAGGACATGTATAACCATTTATAAGTAGCATGTACAGCAAGTATAATTTACTGTATAAATGCCTAGACATTTTTTTGGGGGTAGAGCTGTTGAAGAGTTTGAGTGACTCACCACTGTGTCCACAGGCCTGGGTGCACTTGCCCCATTCTGTCCAGGGGCTTAGGATACAGTCTTCTGGGCACTCAACCTGACAAGAAGCCTCCAGGTTTTCAGGCTTGGGTATGCCCAGCTGGAGAAATGTAAAATAGGACCATTGGCATTGTACATGGATGGAGGGAAAGAAATGCAGTTTACTGTATGCTACAACCATTTATTAGTTCTGTGTAGAGCTTTCAAAAATTTGCTTAGATGTAGTAATGTCTGTGAATTAACTCAACTTTGGTGGGTGGCATGTTATGTTAATCATTCATAAATGGTATGGAGTTTGGCAATCTACATGTACATTGAGGTGTAATGCCCTCTTAATTGTAATGTCTGTGACATTTTTGCAAATTTTAAAGGTTTTTGTCTCTTGTAATGTCTATGACATTGTTTTAAACTTTCATGGCCTTTGTTTTTACAAAAGTAGTAAAGGAGCGCGAAATTAGACCAAAAAAGTGCTTGGACAAAAAGTCACAACACAATCAATTTTGTTCTGCTATTACCATCTTTTGATCTGCCATAATATCTGCCTTTATATAAAAGGTGGAGTTGTAATGTGCAGTGTCATTCACTTTGTTTTTCCTGGTCCAACCAGAACCACACACGCAACTGCATTGAGCAATCCTTGTTCGAGTGCAGGTCGCGACACTTTTTTTTTTTTTTTAGTTTGCCCAATCGGGCAGGCCATTTTATAGAATTGGATCAACACTTGCCAAAGCTTTATTTAATTAACTAAAGCCTACTGCATACATGCAGTCTTTTATCAGGCCAAAAAAATAAATGTAGTTGTACTGTGCATGCCTCTCAAAAATTGGATCGGTAGGTCGGAACAGTGGGGGCAACAGCCTCAAAAGTTTCTCAAAAAGTGATGAACACCTGTCTTAATCTATGTAAACATTTCTAAACACTGTAATTCACAAGAAAATTATGAATAATTCACACAATCACGACGGCAATCACGACGACAAACTAGCCAACAATGTCCCTGTATTGTGTGGTTTGCGTGCGTGATGCATCTAGACCAGCGGGTGCTAAACATTGTGCCAGGAGCAGAACAACCTCAAATTACACTTATGAATACAGAAAATACAGACATAAATAAGAGACCAAGTTCTGTGAATTAACTTGTAGAAAACCTCTTGTAACGTAACATCGCTGTTTTTCTGGCCTGCAGCCTTTTGCATTCACGACGTGAATGGCCGACGAAGAGTGTTTATGTACAGTTCCTTCAGTACATGTACAGTACAGACTGGGACTGGTTGCTACATTTCCATCATGCATTCTTTTGCATGGGTGCGGTGTGGCAAGAACCAGAGCAACTTCGTTTACTGCATAGAGTTTGGTGCACATGTTTTCACCACTGTGACAGCAAAACGTGAATGCTGACAATGCCCACAGAATTATGGGGCGATTTCATGTCTGTACAATTGAAGTATACATACACGCGTGGCGCTAGGTGACATGGGCCGGAGATGAGCGATCAGTCCTGATGAATGCCTTGGTCTTGGTCCCCTATGCCACTTGGCTGAGTGTGTTTGTGTCCCGTATGCCATGAGGCCGAAGCATACGGGACACAAATGCACTACATTATTCCTTGTTCCACGGGCGAAAGAGTGATAACAAATTTATCTTCGAGCAAACTTGATGCGCAGAGTAAAGAAAGTAAAGGGGCCTATGTGCACTTTACATAAAAAAGACAACAAAAGATATCATACGACGCACAGTCAAAACAGTAACACCGATGTAGCACAATTCTGCCATTTTATCTAGGGAGCATGGGAATTAATTGTGTTTGAACTTATTTCAATAACAACAATAACAACAGGGCTTACACTAAGAAAAAAAATTGTTCGAATTGTACCTGCATTTAAACACGTGATGGTCAGCACGGTCAAACACGCCACTCTTGAATTTACAGTCTTGCAGATGTGCGTTTGCTTTTAGCGTAAAAATAGCGCTGTGCGTTGAGTTAGAACAACGCATTACGCAGGGTTTGATATGAACTGTGCAATATGGTTATATATTGCACCGTTTGTTGCCATGGATCGACCAATCAGAATTGAGAATTCAAGTTTGCCTGAAGATAATGATTAATAGCGGGTTACCAACAGAAATCTTCCATCGCAAGGTGCAAAGGAGACCCACTATCAACCAATATGATCATTGTCAACTTGTTGTCACTACTACTGTCAACAAATGCTATTGGTTTTGCCATTTAGCCAACTGTTTTGTTGTTTTTTGTCACCCTCAGAACAGTAGAATAATTATGCAAATTTGGAAATGCAAACACAAAATGAGTATTATCTGTATAAATAAACAGAAAAATCACGTGGAGACAAATTAAGCTGACGCGTATGTGAAGCTGTTTTTTGCATGGTAGTTGAATAGTTTGACTTGAGTTCTCTGAACTTCAGCTGTAGTGTGCATGCATGGGGTACATCATGAATCCACAAGTTAACTATTAATTGAACTTGCTCCAAGCTGCACTGAGGAATTTTCCTGGATGACAAGACCCAATTTTTTTTAATAAAGATAATGCAGGTGTCATAACTTGATCTGTACTGAAACATAATATATCTCAATGAGTGACTGAAGAAACAAAAATTTGCTTAGTAAGCCCGTCTCTGCTGTAAACTTGTAACATATACATTTACACTTCCCTGGTGTATGTGTTCATTCACTGTTATTAATTTTTTCAGTGGGAGTTTCCCACCTACAGCCTTGCATCATTTCTATCATTGCCAAAGTGCCATAGGTTTGGCTGAGATTCTTAACCCAGGTGAATGTATAGTTTTGGCGTTTGCACCATGCTTGTGCACCAGCCCGGTTGAAATTCTTCCCATCAGCCTGTGTCTTCTTTGACAGTGTGGGTGCACTTCAACGGAATGCCTCATTATCTGTAGTACAGTACAACTTGAGTGTGTGTGCATAGGCCAATACCAAGCCAAACACAAGAGAACTAGCATGCGTATACAGTCTACTGCCTAAAGTGGAATCACTGCTCGGACAATAAGCCCCCTGTTTTGTTCACGCATGGAAGACACTGTGGTGAGAATGCAATTTATGCCAACCTGTTCACAGACAGAGTTCTCCACCTCCACGCCATTGCTCTGAACACACCGCAGCAGGCGGATGCGCTGCCCCGTACCGCAGACCCCCCGGGAGCCCATAATGCAGGTGCTCCAGTCGGTTGTGTTCCAGTGGTGTGTCACGCAGCCCTCGCCCACTTCGCAGGGCTCCACCTGCAGCAGCGGTGGGCAGGTTATGCTGCCTTCTGTGGATGAGGTGGGGTGGCGGAGGACGACACGTGTGCGGGTGTGGAAGCTGACCCTCTCACAATTCTGAGGAGATATTAAAAAAAATCCAAATCATCAGTGCTTGCTTTCTGGAATGATATTTGGTGATTGGACGATTTGAGTGTAAACCTAAAACTTTTAAAGACATCAGTATCCAAGCTGCAGCGTATTGGAATGCAGTTGATTCAACAGAGGTTTATCTTACAATGAAAAGCTGCCATAAATTTGACCATCCAAACTCTGCTTTCTCTGATTAATTCAGAACACAGGGATTATTATGTATTACTCACAGATTATGTAGCATTTCAGCATTTCTTTACTTATTCGGAACACTTTCGAATTTATCATTTTATAGGCTGTAGTCAAGTTTTCTTGCACTTTGCTTTATTCTTTCTTCAGATTTGGATGGTGAATTTCATCTATTATGATCCTACATTTGCAAATACATGCGAAGTTTTCAAACTTAATATAGAGAGTGTGGTTTTCAGATGAGTGCAATGCAAAACAACACCAAATACCATGGTTACGACAAAGGTCTGGTCAGGCCTATACTGCAGTACTTGAAAGTTTTACTGTTAAGGTATATATGACAAGTGCTTTGCAGAGTCTGGTTTTAAAACAAAAATTTTCTTCACAAGTCTTTTCATTCAGGGGTAGGCTGATGTTGTGGGCTGACAATACAGAAACTGACTATCTCTACCTGAGGACAAGGTGACCACTCTGACCAGTCACTGACTGCACACTCCCCTAGACAAGGCTTGGAGCAGGGACGGGTCATCGGTGGGCGGAGGCGATGATCACACAGACTGGAGCTGTTGTCGGGTCCGAAAAAGCCTGGAGGACCATCTATCTTGCATCTGCAGCCATTACCGAGATATAGTTTTAGAAGTATGTCAGTAATACCTCATTTTAAATGGGAATGTAGAAACACTGATATGACAGGAGAGCAGTTTACATTTAAACACCTTGGGTTTCAGGATAGTCCACTACCTAATGGAAACAGATTGCAGCAAAAAGGTGACATTTACAAACAGTTACAAAATTGCATTAAAAGATCAGTTCCTCCTGAAATATTCAATGATGTTTTAACCGATAATGCAAACTGGAACTTAAATACATATTTGCTTTTCGTTTCTTCTGGTCTTCATGTTGGTGCATCACTTCCAGTTACGTGGGTGAAAGGTTGACAGGTACAACTGATGTTCAGTGGTTTTGGCAAGTTGTGGGAACGTGTGTCAAGTTGGGTCACACAATTCCTAGTACTGGCTGTTGGGCTTACCTAATTTCCCTCTTCTGGTGGCCGTCCCCACAGGTGCTGTTCACCTGGGGCATCTCGCATTCCTCCCAGGGGCCCGTGTACCACAAGAGACGGCTGTGGACCTCTGATCGGCACGGCATCCACTGGTACATCTGTAAGCAAGCCAGAGAGGGGTAACAGTGGCACATTCCCATCTCTGTGACCTCTGTGAACCCTTATCAGGCCAACATGATTCCCTAAGTGATTCCATGGGTCTTCCCGGAGGATTTGGAGGCTTCGCACTAACCTTAAAAACCAATCACTTGTATTCTAACTGTCTTTTCTTGAAAGGTTTCTTCAAGCTTGCGAACTACATAGCCATGGATTCTTATGAAAATACTTCACGACCCGAAATGAGTGATGAGAATAATAGCATACATCTTGAGTGACGCTCAACCAGAATTGGGAAGAACATTAACATTTTTCTGTTGATGAACAAAGATGTGGGTCTCTTCGTGGGAAAAGTAGGACCTGACACAACATTGCCAATGAAAGACTCATTCTCACAGCTTCCTGTGACACACATACCAACATGATGAGTGATTATGCAAAAGTTGAAAATCCGCATTCTGACCTATCAATGGACATCCACTACTGCAGCCTTTTGTAACTGAAAGCTGTTGGCCACTTCACAGTCTTGTCACATAATGCAACTATGCTCACATCCATTCGACAGAGATAGGCTGCTGTCAGAACAGTACTTTATTCAAGACCATCACAACACCATTCACAAAGACCAGTCACAAGACCAGTAACAGTGTGAATAGTGACAAAGGGATGCTTTTGTTGCAATTCATTTGGATAGTTTGTGACTCGCATTCAGACTGGAGGTCTCGTGTTGGTCTTAGGTCTTGCGATGGTGACTATAACACTACTTCAGACTGCACAGACAATTTATTTCTTCCAAACCGAGTTATCTATAACCATTCATACCAGTTCACATTTCAGGGCACTTAACTTTAGATTTCCACATCTATGGAAAAACTCACTTGAAAAAAAAAAATGAAATTGGATTTCTACAAGTTGTCCTTACTCTGTTTCTCCTGTCAGGGTTTGGGCAGGGCCGGCCCATGCCTGAGCCCTCATGCAGGATTTCCCTCCACCGCACCCTCTGGCCAACATTAAGAGTCTGGCTGCACTCGCTCCAGGATGACCAGGGGCTCAGCTGGCAATCCTCTGGGCAGGGTATATCGCACAAGTCTACCATGAAGTCTGTGCCATCAGGGAAGGTGGGAAGACACAAAGGAATGAAAAGAAAGATTCCAGTAGTTTTGTCAAGCCTAGTGTGGAGATTTTGAATGTTATACTTTCTGACAGATGTGTGGAAAGTGAAGTTTGAATTTAAGCCCCCATGGTTCTGAACAATGATTGGCACTTAAGAGAGGCCAGCCATCCCCAAAACAGATGAAAGAAGGTAATTTTGACATTTGACAGTTTTTTTGTCCAACACTGTTAAAAGTAAAAATTTTCTCTCTGGTCGCTACAGGCAATGAAATGAGAGAAATATCCATTTCTTGTATGTATACTGTATCATTTTCAAAATCATAGCGTATAATTCTTCAGCCTGGCTTGGGAACAGTGGGTCACAAATAAAGCGCTGAAAAAATTTCCAATGTGAATAAACTGTCAAATTATCCAACCCCCCCCGAGACAAACAACATGAGTTTTATATGTAGTTCTGGACGTCAAAAGTAAGCAAGCATTGTATTATTTTGCCAATAATGTCACAACTACACAGGAGAGTGTTTTGGGTGGGTGGGAGCACAAGGGGTGATTTTTCTTTTGCAAGTCTTACTAATTTACTAAAAACACAAGAACACTTAAAATGTTTCTATCTCGTAAGTTCATTATTGCATCAGAACCACTTGTGGCATTCTGCCATTTCAGTTTCTGCAATCCTATAATATGCAACTAGTTTTATTCATTCCAATGCACACTTTGAGAAGTTTGAATCACCATTTTCACTGCCACATTTTCTGACATCAACAATTCGCCTCTCTTCGTCCAGGCACATAACTGCACGGTACTTCACCCCCTGTCCGCAGCCCCCTGTCACACCCCCGGCTGAGTCCCCCATCAGACTGCCCGCCTCGGGGGGCCCCTTGAACTGGGAGGGCTCGAGGAAGCAGTTGGACCAGATCCCCATGGGCTCCAGTGTGTAGGTGTGACAGCGGCAAGGAAGGGTATCGCTCAGCGGGTAGAGATCAGGATCGTCGCACTCTGAAGAGCGACGGCTCTGGCCTGTAGAATTTAGACACATGGAATTGGTAAGGGCCCAGCTAAGTACATGATTGAAGCCCTTGTCCGTTGTACTGGGACTGTAAGCAGTAAAATAGTGACCGACAAAAGAAATCAAGAACATAAGTACATGACAGATACAGGTATGTAGTATGAGGGATTTAAGACAGTGTTCCAGCAAGGTGAAAGTGGTCTTAGAGAGTCCCTTTTTAGCATGCATAATATTTTGGATCCACATGCCAATGACTCAGGACTTAGCTTTAAATTTTTACATATACATCTTGTTTATCTTGGATTGTTTGAATGTTTGCACCCCCCCTAATACACTATAATCTTGTCTATGGAGATCAAAAATGAAATTGTTTTTTTGTGGTACTGGTGGACAGACACTCCAGGATCATGAATGCAAGATGTCCACCATGAAACAGAGAAGTGGTGTAATGAAGGCAAACACTTGAGTGGCAAACTGCATTGGAACACACAGCTTTTGGGTAACAGGCTTTGCTCTGTGCTAAACTCCACCCTCACACGCAGAAAAGGTGAAAATTACTGCAAGGTGAAGGCACTTCTGCCATTTTTTAATCAAGTGCCCACGCACAGGTACTTTCCTGTCATGCGTGTGTGCGTGGGCCAGAGTAGTGTCGGCACTAAATGCAACGCTACACCGCACATTCAATTGGTTGTGTGCACTGCAGATGTCAATGATAAGCAGGTCCTGACTTTAAAGGCATGCGGGACAATTAGCCACCATCAAGGGCCTGCCAGCACTTGTGTCTTGTGGACATTAAGCAACATTGGGTCTCTCACCAACTTCCACACACAAGCTCAGAAAAGCTGAATTAAAAGGTGTCATGAGCCAGGCAATACTGGTAAGTGCTCAATGTAACGAAGCCTGTATTTGATGTAACGCAGTTCACATTCTGATGAGCCAAGTACACCAAAATGCACAGCCTCAGCACATGTTATTTGGAACAAAAGTCTGACAAGAGTGAGCCTGCCACAAACAGGGTCGGCACATTTAAATGTGAGTGCACCCAGAAACTGACACTGTGTTCGGCATGAATATGTACATGCACTCTGACTTTTGGACTAGAGTCCACCAGGCTGCTTGGAAGACAATGTATACGTCTGAATGAGATTTGTGCCAAAAACGTTGGGTCCCCTTGAACGTGGCAATCAAATTTTATGCTGAAAGGGAATTCTATGTAGAGACAACCAAGGTTCAAAATGAGTATGGTGGCTGAGGGGCCACTGCCAGCATGTGCCCTCTTCCCATTTTTTTCAATTTTTCTCTTTATCAAAGGGGCACAAGTTTAGTCTTCTGTTAACTGTTTTCAACTGGCCATTTCATAACTTCAGACATAAATTTACATGTACATTATAAAAAATATACATCTTTCATATGTTCAGGTTCTACCTCTTCTTTGGGTCCTCCCCCCGCATTTCTTACAAGTACTCAATAGCAGTAGATTAATGCTCAGTGGAAACAATGGTCACTTCTGTGTCTGCTATCGAGCCTGACCTATCAAGCGTCGTCTGCGGATCCTTCGGCCACTGCAGGTGTCCGGGCAGGCACTCCAGCGGGACCACACACTCAGCTCGCACTCTCCCTCGCACAGAACGCGGCACTTCTCAGCGGCAGTCGGCATGGGTGGGCCGTAGCGTAGGCACAGGTCCACGTCTACTGGCATGCCGCCCTCGCGTTGACACTGCACCTCTGATGCATAGGGCCAGACAAAGAGATCATACTCTCATAGATTGAACACTTTTAACAATATGCTCCAAAAGGTACCCCATTTTCTAATTCTAAAAGTCCCATTTAGCTACAAACTCATTCAATTAAGAACTGTGTTGCACTTCAATGCATGTATGTATGTATGTCGATAGAAACCCCCCTCCCCTGTATGAAATTCCCCCAAAAATCTGTCTTTTCTTAAACTACCTCTTGTTCGGAGTCCGTCACCGCAGGGTTCCCAGCCACCTCGCTGGCTGCCCACAGGCAGCTGGCACTCCCCCCAGAGGCTGGGCACCCAGTCGTAGGAGTAGCAGGAGTCGGGCACCGGGCAGACCTGGCGTTCCTGCAGTGGTGGGCAGAGCTGGCCCCCATGCCTGGCCGGCTGGAGAACGTAGCGATCTCGCTCCTGCAGGAAACCCATACCTGGGGGATGCCAAGAAGGAGAAAGGAGTAGATGCCTATATCTCAGTCTTAGATTTATAGGTTAAAATTTGTCAGTCAGTTTCACTTGGCAGTGGTTCCATGCGAAAGTAGACATTTGGTCACTCTTTACCAATCTTGGTAATATTCATACTTTATAAATAAAACTGAGTTTTTCAACAAGTGGAAGTGGAATTAAAAAGTAATGATACCACATATTGTTAATGCTTTCATTTATTTGAACAACTTCTTTTTGTTTCTGAATGACAAATAATGAGGTAGCTAACAGCGTGGCTAATTAACACTTTTGCAAGGAACTACGTTTTCACCCCCAAACCATGTGGATAAGTGTATGAACATATTTCACAAGCATCTAAGAAATCATTATAATTTTACAAAAAACAGAACTCAGCATTTTGAACTAGTGCCTATGTTTTAGAAAAATTAAACTGATTTCAACTCAACAAGATAATGTAGAGTTTCTTCAACCAAAACTGTTCCACATTTCAAATTCAAACATGTTTGGTATTACACTGTACCACACCGTTCTTGGAAAAAAAATTGTACTGGCGTAAAATCATGCATACCATGTTACCATAAACGTAAAGTTCAATAGCATGGAACATGGCACCACTTCTATATCCCATGTGGCAGCACAATTTACACTGTACTTCCACACCACACCACACATGACTGGGGGGAGGCAGAATGACTGCGGCGCCAGAGAGAGTGAACAGCAAGGAAAGTCAACAGAATCAAGGGTTGAACCAGTCTGATGGCAGCCTAAATATCCCACCGGATGAGAGGCTGAAAATGTCACGCCAGCGTCCTCATTGACCTCTTATTTAAATTTTTAAATATCCATTCATGCACAATGGCTGGTGCATGCTGAATTCGGACCCGGGCCAACTGGCAACGTGCATGGCAACCTGTAAGATTTCAGAAGCTCTGAGGACAATGCCCGTACTCATATGAATGCATGTCATTAGGTAGGCTAAATTTCACAGAGTTGCTAAGCATAAACTAAGTAAACATTAGCAAAAAGAGACATATACAATGAATGGCATTTTAGCTGGCATCCTGTTTTTGAAAAGCAAATTTTTTCTTTGCTCAGCAGCTTTATGAAATTGACAGTTCCCCATCCCAAATATGAAGTTTAATTTCTTCTTGATGGTTACGCAAAGATGAAATCCTAAAACTTCTTGGCCTACTGACTTCAAGGGCTTACAAACTTCCTGATAGTTGCAGCCAAAGGTCACTGGCGCCGAAAGAGCCATCCTGACTCTTTGTACTCACCAGTTTCACAGGATTGCGGGCAAGCGGTCCACTCGCCAAAGCTGGACACCCGACAGTCCTGAGGGCAGGGTATGTGGCACTCTCGCACGCTGGCTGGCTTCCCCTGCTCACCACACCTGCAGCAGCAAGCAGACAGACTTCCCAGCAGCTTGTTCAAATCATGGCCGGGTAGGCAGAGCCTTATGCACTTGCAATTTTAAGACTTTGTCCCTGGGAGGCTGTTGCTTCATGGCCAATTACACCACAATAATTTTTTATCATAAAACACTGACGAACAGATATGAATAATGGCATAACACAATTGATGACCTTTTTCAAAATTTGGGTCTGGAATCTGAAATTGTGGATTCTTCAGATTTTGGATTTGCACAGCATCTTCGTAGGTCTGTCCTCATAGAGATATGACCAAAATAAATGTTAAGTAAACTTTAAAAAAGGCTTATTCTATTGAAAGACAGAGAAAATATAACTGGCGACTAACTACCAATACGTGTGCAGTACAAGCCTGGAGAATTATGCTGTCACCAACCTTTTCTCAGGTGCAAGCTTGTCTTGCAATGTCCGGATGCATTCCATACTCCTCACCTGGCGCCCCACCTCGCACATGCCCTCCACCCCCTCCAGCAACACAGGTCTCAGACCGCTGACACACTCGCTCCACGGAGTCGTCCGCCAAGCAAAGTGAGCGCAGCTGTGGTCGTTGCAGGCTCTCGTCTCAATGAGATGCTGAGGCATTGGACACTCATGACCTCCTGAGATGGGTGCGAGAGGACAAAAATTCAATTAGCCTGTGGCGAGTTCAATTTGAATCAAATCTAGGTGCACTCAGTTCTTTAAAACACAGAGGAAGGACACAAAAGGAGTTTGAACTGCCTGGGCTATAACGTCTGGCCAATTACCGCTTTCTGGCATGCCCGGTATGTCCATAGCCATAGCTATGCATCATCTGTTTCACAACAACGAAATCCCTTCCATCCCTGCTGCAATTTTTCGCTGGTAATGATTAAAATCCTTAAAGCTTTATGTACTGAGGTATAGGAAATCGAATAGTCGTGAATTTGTTGGTGCTTGGTATGATATCATAACATCCAATTTGATACTTACGCAGTTGCTTGCATTACATCATGTGCTCTAAATGTACACGTGCAGTCATTGCCCTTAATGAACGCTTTCTTCTGGAGTTATTTAGGGGATAAATTGCCCCATTGTTCACACAAGATTTTGTGTTTGTTTGAATCATTTTTTATAACGCCGTTTGTACAAAAGCGTATTTTACTAGATTTCATGATCACTCCCTATGATGAAATAGTGCATTTTTGTTCTATGCAGTAGCTGACATTTTATTGGCCAGTCTTTAATAGTCAAATTCGTACCAAGTCTTTAAAAACTGATGCATTGGAGGGAGGGGAATAAAATCACAAGCTTTTGCATGGATAATGGACAGTGTATCAAAATTTAAACAGTTAATTCATGGTAGCAAAAGTAGGTCTAATATCAGGGATTTTTCTCTCTCTATTTCCTGGTCACAGCAATAATTTTTATTTAATTGCAAGCAAAACACTACAACTATTGCTAGGATAGTACTGGCCCCACTTGTTTAGCTAAGATGCAGGCAGTACTCGGGCATTTTGGAATGTTTACTGTTATTTGTCTGACTCGGCGGCGATGATTTTTGAACACTTTAAAGTGCCAGAGTTGCAACTCCTTCTGTGCCCTTCCTCCATGTTTATATTCACATGAACATAACAATTTGAATTCTCCATACTAAAGTCGCTGTTGGTAATGTGTACCTCGTGATTCGAGCAAGCTTTTACTTGGTTACATAAGAGATGCCTTGCACCAATACACTGTAGTCAATGGGTAAGAAGGGCACAAAGGAACCATTCCATTCCAGAGACGGTGGTCAGTATGCAAAAGCTTGCCCCAAGTCCCATGGCAAAGCAACAGTGTTCTTTAGTCTGGGAATGCAAGTTGTTATGTTTATGTGCAATCAGACAACTCAGTAGACCAGATTTTATTTAAATTTAACTAGCAAAAGGCTTATTAGGAAGGAGTGAGGTTAGTTCCACTTTCCTTGTCAACTTTAAATTTCTCTTTTGGCAAATAAGAAGGCTAGCTACATGTATATGTATATATGCATTGACAGAAATTGTTCTTGCGTGGTAACCAATAGAACAAGCAAAATGTTCAAAGCTCTTATGTGAAAATCTTAAAGTTATACTGACATAATCAAAGACACAACCAAGATCAAGAGAATTTGAAATGATTTAAAACAAAACAAAGAAATCAAATAAAAAAATTCATATCAAATCTAATCTAATCAAATCAAGCATCACCTGGTCCGGGGTAGGCCCTGATGTTCCTGTACCGTGTCTGGACTCCGCCTTTACCGCACGCAAGGCTGCACGGGCTCCAGGCCCCCCATTCACCCACCACACAGTCACTGGGGCAAGGCACCCAGCACGGGACCTGCGTTTCCGGTTTGGGCGATATATTCGAACACAGCTCCTCATCAACAGTAGTCTAAATATGGGGATACCAGATTGAAAGTGAGGTTTTTTACTGCAAACACAAAGCAGGACAATGTAACATGTCATGTAATCAAGATTTGGTCACTTAGGGGGGTATCCGCATTTCTTCTTTAGGCATTACTACACTGCACTGGCAACGTTAAGGAAAAGTCACTTGCCTGAGAACAGAATCACCAGATTCACTACAACCATAAATCAAACATACAACAACATGGAGGCTCACAGAATCTTTATAACTTGGACAGTAACTGATCAAATCTTATCTTCATTAGGAAAGACTGCCTAGATTTATTACAAGATATTCCCACTCTTTGATTTGTACTCTGTGCTTGAAATAAATAGTGTTGCATCCCAGCTGTCATTTTGTCTGTATTAAAGTGAAAGAGGGTCAGGATCACATTTTTAATGCCACTTTAAAAGCAAGCAATAGCTGTGAAAAAGCAATGTAATGTTCGTATACGTCAGGTGTCTTTATATCATTATGCATTGTGTGGAGGCTCACGATGCAAACTCTGCACTCTAGCACAACAGTCCCGGATTAAAATCTGAAGGAAATCCCAGGGCAATGACTTATGAAATCCCCAGCTGTCACGCATACACGGGGGATCAAATCAACTGGACGCGGAGTTAATTTTCTGTTAAACAAGTTTCTGCTGGGGTGCCTGGCAACCGATTGTCATGACGCCAGAATAATGCACTGTAGCCATGGTATCTGAGAAATGTTGAAGCGTGAACCGTACAAGAAACCCCCCTTCCTTTCCATCAATATCTTCTTCATTACTCATCGCAGTGCAGGGGAGATTCTAATGTACTATTGCCGGGCTTTCGTGGAGCCACGAATAAAACGTAACAATCAGTTTCATACCCTGACGAGACAAACTGAAACTCCTTGCCCAAAGCATGTATTTTTTCATTAACAAGAGGAGACACCGAAAACGCGAACAGGATGCTGTATATGATATCAGGGGGCTTGGAACAGACAGAAGCTATCAAGTGACGTGTTTCAAAAAGTGATAGGCAATACACACCGAGTTGTGTGTTCCTGAGACACATAGCATACAATGTGCAACAGTCGGGGAGACAGAATGACTGCTTACTAAGGGGGGGGGTATGTGCGAAAGAGACACAAACTGGGACAAGGGAATGTCTTGTACAAGTCACTGACCCAAGATCTCAGGCAGGAAATATGGGACACAAGGCGGCAAACAGCAGTTGGTGTCAACAGTAGAGCTTTCATGCAATTAAAGCGAGTCGTTGAGCAACTTGCAAGAGACTGACTTTGTCTGAGTTTTAACACAAAGTCTAAAGCAAGGGTGGCATCTGTTGTGGTGACAAGACTTTGTTTGTACAGCAAAGACAAACATTTCTGTGCATTTGTACATTTTGATGCAGAATTCATCCCATCCCCGAAAGGAAATATAATCAAAGTTGACAATTTACAATGGAATTGCTTATAGACAAGATGCCCAGAAATCAGCCTTGGTCATTCAAATATATGTAACTGATAGATAGAATAGTTGAAGATCCTTTTTGTTTTTTCATCCCTGTAAACTTTTCTTGAAGAGTGATGTGAAGAGAGGGGAAGCGACTCATTCCCAGCTGTTTTGTTTGGGACACAAATCCAGCAGAAGGTAATCATGCCCGCCAAACACATGCTGAACACAGAAACAAAAATAGGTTTCAAATGACTGAGAAGCAGTGAAAAACAACAAATGCCCGCAGCCTCGCAGATTGTTCCTATCAAATGAAAGAAAATTGCCTCTTGGTAGAGGAGAGCTGCTCTGAAGTCCCCTACAAATGGAAACAATCCACGGCCGGTTTCATCAGCCGTCCCCCAGAACAAACTTGTGCTTGCTAACGAGACGGGAGGACGGCGTGTCAGATGGGATGACACAAAGATTAATGAGGCGACCGATCAGGTTTCATGGTTGTGCACGGCTTCATCTCTTGGAGGGCATGATGTTGACCATTTAGGCCTAGGCCAGGCCAGCGAACTTCTCTCTCTTTTTTCTTTAATGGGGGGGGGTTAGAGGAGAGATCTGAATCTACATGCAGTCATTTGGGTACCTCTTTAACCATTTCCTGTCTACCTTCTTAATAAAGCACAGCATAAATAAAATATTCATTGGATTGATAGACTGCTTCCTCTTTTGCACAAGGATAAATAACCTGGGGAATTAGGGCAGCTAGAATTAAGACGCTTTGCATAACCAAGACACTATCAGGGGAAGAATTAATATTAAGAACTCAGCCAATGATGGGATGTTATATACATGTATCTAGTCACAGCAAGTGAGTAGAGACACGACCTGCCACTTCCTGCCGGGCGACCCGTTTTCGAGTACATAGGCTTTATATGCAGAGCTGGGGAGCCCGTAAACTGGGACAAAAGAGTTGGGCCTTATAACAAAAGACCGTACTCAGCATAAAAGACTGAGCTGCTGGGCATTACCGACATTTTTTCGCTCTCAATAGTGGAGATAATCCAGCCTTGTTTTGAAACAGTATACCACGGTTTGAGGCATTTAGAGCAAGTGGATTACCACTGGGGACAAAAACTCTCCACCACCACAGCGATGAGCCACACAACACTACTGCACGCTAATCTGGCCCCTATTGAAAAGAGGTCAGCAGTGCACTGTGCCAGTTTCGGCAACAAAAGAATCTTACGTAACACCGCACAATCTGGGCTCTTTTTCCAAGGCTGCAGGCCTATCTGAAATATTCAGGAGTCAATGAATTTTACCTGTCAGCTTTAGAATAGTGCCCAAAGAGTCCTTCATTTTGGTATACACGGCCATTAAATGAAATGATGAATTTTGAAGAATTTTGAAAACGGAAAATCTTGAAAATGAGTTGGCATCTTGTCTTGCTCAAGAAAAATCCACCCGGCAGCAAATGGTTAAAGGCTTATTTTACAAAACTGGTAATTTCCCAAGGTCACCAGTCATGCAGGCATAGTTTGTATAATATAGTATGATCATGCCTCTCCATAGCTACTGTCTCTTGGCATGAGCTAAAAAAAGGCTAAATGCTGTATGAAATAAGCACTCCAGTAACTGCTGCAAAAATGCCTGTAAAAAAGAGCATCCCACACAGTGCCTCCTTCGCCACATCCAACCAGCGTGACTGCCGTGATTAAAAGTGGCACGGCCGATTGATGAGACACACCCGATGCTGTCCTTCCCATGTAACAGATCCACGGAGGCGATGGATCTCAACAATATGATGAATCAGATATGCAACTGGCATCTCTCAGCCCACAACCGAGTCGATGCATCACACTCCAGAAAAGAGTGCAATCTCACAAAACCCTCTAAAGCGAAGCTACTGTATCAGTGTTTCAAATATTTTCGGCTTGAAAACAATTTGACTGGCCTGACCCTCGGCAATGATTTAAAATCCAACAGCTGAAAATATCAAACTGGTATGATGAAATATCGCTTGTAGGGACATCATTGTCAAATCTCATCTTCTGGCCCATTTCACGCTTTCCCAATTTTTTTCATTCCCAATTTTGAGATACTTGATTTACAGTGACTTTTTGCTATTGACATCCCACAGGTGATGTTGGTGCTTAACAGCGCAGGAAATTAATCATGTTGTCAACTGCGTGTTCTTTTAAGAGAAGTTGACAGCTGCCCAGTTTGCCCTTTTTGACATGCAGTTGGACAACGGGGCCATTAATTCATGCAAAGAGGCATATCCTGTGAAAGTGATCCCATCGACTTACACAGCTATATAAAACTCTCCAATAAATACAGAATAAATGGCACGTGGGTGGTAGGTGTGGCATAATGAAAAGGTCTGGCCTAGTGTTCTCAGTGAGTAACTCCCTCTTTGCAAACAGAAATTTCTGAGGCACCCTGAGGTAAATGAGATAAAACAAAATGAAGGAATGCTGGATTCAGTGTGCATTTGAAGGGTGAAAAGAAATAAAGGCATTCTGAAAATGGATTGATTTTTTTTTACACTAAAAATGTTGCGAGAGGGATTCCTAAAATCGTTGCACGTCAAAGTGAACTTTGAACAGTTTCACATTTCCTGCAAACGGGAAACTCTTGTTTTTGTTGGTAATTGTACCAGAACAAGCTCTTGGCAAGGACAGACTAAACCATGAGCAGACTGAACCACGGCACAACTACCAACTGCATTTCTTAAGAAAGATAGGGAAGAATTTGTCAAGGGTAAAGGAGTGACAATCAGACATCAACATCGGCCTTGACTTGATTCACTGACAGACAGATTGCACTCCACTGCCAGTTGTGACAAGGGGGGAGAAAAAAAAGCCAAAGAGGAACAAAAAATTGATTGACAAGCTGCCCTCCTTGACATAATTGCCGGTGTCTCACTTGATTCATGTCCAGGCAGGTGATGTTCAGTTCCTGACCTCCCTCGCCACAGTTGCTATCCACGGGCACGCAGTCTCCTGCATCCTTGGCGTGCCACTTGAAGCAGATTGCAACGTCACAGGGCACATACTCGGTCAAGTGAGGGCAGTCTTCCCCTCCATCCTCTGCTTCCACTGTGACCTCCCTTCTTCTGATTTTGTGACCTGCCATGTAAGAAATCACACACAAACATTGGAGAGTTTTTATGCTGAACACACATACGGACAAACAAAAAACCCTTTGACGCCCTTTTTTTTGAGGCACAAAACCCTTCCTGCATAATATCTGCTACTTGTAAGCTTCGCAAGTGATATTACTCATCCAAATCATGCCATATCAATATTAAGTGTATACATGTATGCCTCTGACGCCATGTGTTCATGAACAAGAAACTGTTGAAACAGTCTAATTCTATGCATTGAAATGTATCATGTATCAATAACTGTAGCTGTTTTTCTTCTTATGGGCATGTGTTCACCGTCTGTTAAAAGGCAAGCGTCTTGTTTGTTTTACCAGCAACAAAAAGGGGAGAAATTTCACTTTAACACTTATCATCCTTGGTGTGCCATCATCAGCTTGTGTGGTCCTATGATGTAAAGATCTAGACATGGATACATCACTTGCCACTCAAGTGTGAAATACATGGCCAATGATCCATTTTCACAATGTATACATGAAACTCAGTGACAGAAGGGCCCATAACAGTTATGGATGGTTAAACCTATGTATATATACAAGTGTCTGTTCACAGTCAAAACCTTCCAGACCTCTCTGATCATGGTTGGCTGTTGTATACTCTAATATCAGGGTGAAGCATCTACAGACTAAAGTCTGACGACAGCGAGGCAGCTAGGCTTTCTTCCAGTAAGCTGGAAGAGTTCTGACCTCACTGTCGCCATTGTTTAAAATTCGAAAGACACCTGCAGAATCTGTAGAAAATAGCTAAGACAGCATGCTCCACCATAAATGAGAAAATGACAAAAACCGACATCGGCCAGAACAATGGACACACAACACATAACATTGATTTCCAATACCTCTGTCCAAAACTATTTCGCTTTCACACCAAATGCTCTGATACCTAAGCCTATGAGATGTCTTTTGAGAATCACAACAGTACGCAACCCCCACAAATGACGACACAAACACACACACACTGACAGTGATACCTCACAAATTATAAGGCTACACAGTAAACATGAGGTTTGAAAACCTTAACTAGGTCTGTCAAAGGAAACTCTTTTCTTAAATTAATGATAACATTTCCATTTTATCAATCAATCTAAACAAATTTGTGCAAAATATTATTAAGAGAAAAAAGTCGGCTTTTGTGTCCGTCCAAACACTGTCTCTATCTCTCATCACAGATGTGTCAAGTCTAACATCCAAACAAACTTAAAAAGAAAGAGAGCTCAAACTTTCGTCAAACAAGCACAGGAACACCTCAAACTTGTGGGTAATCCCCCTACACTTAATGGACATGTTTAAGGCAAGCTGGTTTGGTTAATATGGCATGTAAATGGTGGAGCAATGCAGTGCTGTCATCAGTCAAAACACACTTACAGACAACACGGAAGTCCATTCAAGTTAGAAGTAGAGTATATCTGTGCATTTATGACAAGGACCCTTCTTGGCTGTTGGTCAAACCATACAAGACCCCTACCTGACAAGCCACAATGTCAAGGCAAAGATGTAGTTTAGTCAAATCACAAGTCAACTGCAAGTCAGTTTATAAGTCAGGTCACAAATGTTAAAGGACGAATTTGAATGAAAACCAATTCAAGGAACGTCCTTGTCTCAGTTCATTTCAACACCTTGTGACTTGACTTACAACTGGGTTTGGGACTGCAACAGCTCAATAACGACCCAGAGTTATGACTTTACAACATCAGTGACTGCCAAAATGGGTCCCTCGTCAATTGCTGTCAAATCAGTAATAGAGAAAGGACACAACTCAGGCTCAGTTTTAAAAAAGCTTTTGGGAAAAATCTTTGTGTTCAATTTAACAGTTGATTGCAAAAATAATGCTTTTGAAGGTCTAATCATCGGTCCTACATGTAGTTCAGCAGCTTCAAACTAATAAAGAATTGTAGGGTATTAAATAATTTTCTTGGAAAAGTTCTGATGCCAAACAAAAGCTGAGTTTTGTGGAATAAACTTTGCAAGTTACTGGTGAAACAAGAGACCCATTTTGCAGTGCTGTTACGGCGTGCATTAAGCCAGGGCATTCCAAGAACAATAAGTGCCAAGTTTATGGAGATGCTTAATGCAGAAATCTAATATCTGCTGAGCAGAAACAGAATACCACCCAAGAATTCATGTAATGTGATACAGCTTTTTACTGGTATCCAGCAGATTAGTGCTTAGCACATATATATTTCAAAGCACCATTTCTGCTTAACAGCTCCATGAAATTTGGCACTGTTGAATGGTATGACCCACAGAAGACTTGTATCTTGAACAAGCAAGTAATCCTTTAGCATTCAGGATGGGGCCCTCCAACACTCACATCCAAACAGCAAACAACAGGGTCAGTGACCTTGCCTCGGGGTCACTGACCTCACACTGGGGTCAGCCAGGCAGTTTGGACACGCCAATGGTTTGCTGGGACTTATTGCTGGTTCAACTCCTTTAGGTGTGGATGAGTGACTTCCTTCAGCTGTTAAACTCTGAATATGTATTGCCGGAAAAAGCACTGACTGAACTTCAGTGCACCAGTCTGCCATAAGTCACCATGTCAGTCACCAGTGAGTCACCATGAGTTCTGACCTCAAGTACAGACCTGGTTTGATGTCATGCGGCCAAGCTCTAGAATATCACCGTGGATCTCTGAAAGGTTTAACTCATAATATCACATCCTCGCTTTGGCTATCTCATCTCACTACAAACATATAACCATTGTGTGTGTATTTGTTTAAAGGTTAGTTTTCTTTCATTTGATGCACATATATCAAGCAACAGATTCTTTAGAATTTGCACTCTCAAGTAACAGGGCATTCTCCAATTACTGACGCCCATGATGCCAAAAAGCTTGTTCCAGAAACATCAATCGGTCGCAAGCCATTACACAAGAGCACATGGACACATAAAACGGAGCTGCTCGTGGGGTGCACAGGTGCAAAATGACACACTCGTGTGACTTGAATAGAACACTCGTGATGGAAGTATGGCAATTTTTCTCCTAAAATGTGCGAGTGGCAGGCAGGGGAGGTGAAGAAACTTGCCTTGGATGCTGTTGTCCTGGGTTCGATTCCAAACTGGGGTGGAAAGTGGATTGGTTTCTGCTTCATAGGTGAAAGAGAAACAGCGGGGGTCAGGCTTGGAAAAAGAGCTAGTGACGCAGTGTCTATTCTACGTAGACTTCTACGATGCAGAATTCCAGATAAAAGAAAGATGAGGATAGTGTGCTTCACTATTATCTGTTTTGTGTGTGTGGGGACAATACGCACCTTTGAGTCTCTTGTTGTTTTGGGGGCTGCACTGATCTGAGATGCAGTCGCTCCACTGGCTCCATGGCGTGACCTTACAGGGAGAAGGGCAGGGCACCTCACAGGGCCCTATTGGCTTTGGCTTGGTGTTGCGGTTGCAGAGGGAGGGTGACACTGGAGCAAAATCTGGACAAGGGCAATGAAATCACTTGGTGACTTGTCTGTGTTGGGCAGTGGTATTATACGCTGGTAAGCTTCACTCTAAATTTCCAAATCAGTCCGTCACCTCTTTAAGGTTGGGTTCACACTTGAGGCCAGTTTGTATCTGGCACAAAAGTGAATGCACGATTCTGTGGTGTCAGATGTAGCATGGGTGCTACGAATTCTCAAATGTTGAACACATTTCAACTCTAGTGAGATTCACGGCAAACAGTTTGTGGCATTAAGTTCACACCACTTTCGCACTTGCCTCAAGTGTGAACTAACCTTAAGTGTTGAGGAAAGTGTGAAGCACTCTTTCTGCACCAGAGTGCCAAAAGACCTCCATGGAACGGATGATGCCACACTGTTTTTTACATGTATGTCTTCGCATGGTGCTCTGTGGCCTGTGGGCCCTCACTGGCTCCATAGGAAAGTGCACATGTAAACAAAGCGTGATGTCATCAGTACACAGGCCTATTACCGAACTGAAGAAGCATTTGAGCTTAGGTGAATTGTGTTGTATCAAAGTATCATCAATCAAAGGTCCCTCGGCACTCAGATGAAATGTTACCGAACTTCAAGGTGGAAACTTCGTCTTTGCTTTATTTTCTAGTGCCTTGAAATATGGGATTAGTGTAATGTCCAGGCATGCCATCACTGTACATCAGGAGGACCTTGGAAATGGCAAATGCTTTGTGCCTGGTTTAATACAAAATAATCAACCTTGGACAGTTTTCCTTGATGACAGCTGGCAAAATGCTCCTACCATTATGCGGTGGCCATCTTAAGTGGGCAGTGATTTGTCTGCAGAAAAACAATTAGGGTAAAACTCACGCTTCAACAGCACAACATGGGTGTTTTTGTTTTGTTTTTTTTCCTTTTTTTAAATGCTTGCCTCACCTGTATCATTAAGCATAGTGCAGAAGACATCCCTCTGGTGCATGCCTCCACCACACAGCGTTTCATGGTTACCAAAGTGTAGTCTTTCATACGGGGCGAGGATGGCATCCACCTGGCAATTGCTCCATTCAGTCGCGTGCCACACATAGCTGGGAGATGAGAAAAACAAATGATGCTGAGACTACAAAAACCTTATTAGACAAGTCAGGTACAAAGAATTAGAAGCCAATACTGCAGGGCCATCCTACTCTTACTCAGGCAGTAGGCGTGCACTACATGCCTCTCCAAATAGGATGTTGTGACTTGCCATAGGAACGGTGTCTCCTTTGGATTCGTCTATTAGAAGCTACTTGTGAAAGTTGTATGCCTTAATAATGAACTACATCTGTACCAGAGCTTGTTTGAATAATTGACAGATTTTAAATGAAGTTCCCACAAAAGGCCAGTTCACACTTCAGGCAAATGTGAAGCGATGAGAGTTTGTCGTCACAAAAAAATTGCCACAAAATTTCACTTGAAAATTTCACATGAATTCGCAACGTGAATATTTGGTCTGACCTCACAAATTTGAATTCGTGTTCACTTTCACGCTTAGTATGAACTAACCTTTAAGCTGTTTCACACCTGGTGTAAAAGTGAATACAGATTTGATGTCACAATGCATTTACAACAAAACCTAGCGAAGTTGAAATGTCAAATTTGAATGTGCAAGAGTCATCAAAAAAATACAACCAGAGTAACAAAAACCATTCCCGTTTATGATACAAAATGGGTTCTTGTGATCCAATTGATACTACAACATGCATTGACTGTGGGAAAAATCTTGAATTTCTTTTTCCCTGATTCTACTGAACTCTTTAGTAATACCGACAAGCACAAAGTGTACTTCTAAAGTGTGCTCCTAGAAAGCATTTCCATCTATTTCCAGATTTACATTTTTCAATGTTTAAATTGTTTAAAATGTTTAAATTTTTCAATGTTTAAAAAAGTGCTCTGTAAATATACATGTAGGCCTACTTCATTCCAAAAGGACTTCAAATAGTTTCCACATATTGAAAGAGATTACGAAAAGGCATAGGCCTAAAGGAGTCCAAGAAAAATTCATTGCTTGTTTCCTTTAAATTAAGCAGTCAAAGCACTTTGTTCAGATTAACGAATCTGAACTTCTGATGAGGAAGGTCAGTGCACTGTCAGTGATTCAGACTCAAAGTACATGTCCGGATTTGCAATTAGAGAATAATTCCCTCCCTCCATGTGTCTAATGGCCATTTCTAATTGCCAGTGCAAGCCTTTTTTCCCTGCATGATCAAACAGCAAGTTGAAATGCCCCGCCAGTAAGAAAGATGACGTTTCACTTCAATTATGATACCTCCTTGAAATCCAAACCAGACTCACAAATGCTGTGTCCGATTTGGAAATGGGAATACCACATGGAATCTGTAACCCAAGGTGAGATTACTACAACAAAAGGAACAAAGACGTCCAAAGTGGAAGATAACTCTAAATTTTCAGCGAGCACATAGTGAATCAGTAAAACTGAAAACATGAACTTCCATCAATTTGTAAAACAGATTAATATTTGTCTGTACTGAACAATAAATCAAAAAACCTACATGTACTGTTACTTTAATGACAGGGCAGACTGTTTTGATACTTTTTGCACATAACAGTAAGTACATGTACGTGGAGCAGTAATAAACACATTGCTTCTTGTTGTCTGTCTTGAATGCCACACCACACAAATAAACTCCATGTGTGGTCTTGGTGAGCTTGTTTAGGATGACGAATTTACCAAACAAACTTGCACATGCAGGAATAAAGTGCGCACAAGATTGTACAAATACATGTTGACTATGCAGCAGTAGAAGTGCTATAAATTGGAACTGGTTCACAAAACAAAGGTGTCATACAGGAGTTGGATTAAGTGTTCCTAAGGCCCCAGGCACCAGTGTTCTGTAGGCTCTACTCATTGCCACAGGTACCAGCATCAATTACACATATAGCATTGAGTGCAAACTTTCATTTCAAGTTCATGCCAAGTTGTTTTAACAAAAAGTAATAAGCTACATACTAGCTATTTTGAAGCTTTTCCAAATAAAAATTCAAGGAAAGAAGAACACTCTGGTATCTTCACAGGCCCTCAATTTTTTTTATGGGCCTTTAGGTTTATTGTGCTCAGTAGATAATCAGGTGCTGGTGTCATACTGTAGCATGAACTGAGAACAGGGAACTGATTTGACGAGCATGTACATGTATCATGCCTTAGATAACATCATGTCACACCATTGGAAATTAGAGGCATTGTACCTAAAGAATGTAAGTTCTTGAGACCAAACAAGGACCCAATGACAAGGTAGAAGTCAAGGCCGGGTTATGTCTGATGGTGAGAGGTGGACTGCTGTTTAACAAATACAATATTATTGCAAATCTCAGTTCTTGCTCAAGGCCTTTCGCCTCGGCAGGCTGTGTGGACTTAAGTCCCCAGGCAGCTCCTTTAAGAAAAATGCTACATCCACTACTGCCTGTATAGGGAAGGCTTGGAAAGCAGGTTCTTTGAGTCATGGAATCAGCTGAATAAGGCAGTTTGGTCTAATGCAAGCTGATTTGTTTTTCCTTTCTCCTTTACAGTGTACAATGCAAAATTAAGCACCTACGTAAAAGCCAATGTCTCTACCGTCACAGTGAGAAATAACCCACTTTGAGATCGATTTGGCCCATGAGCTGCAGAAAGTCAAGGTTTCAAACTATTTGCAATCAGACCTAAAGTAATTAGAGTCTACCGAAATGGGGTATCAACCAGTGAGCAATTTGCAACATGAAGTAGAGACGGACGGACCGACATGTAAAATGATTGATCAGCCCCACTCAACATGAGAACATTTCACAAATCATTAGAAAGCCTTTCAAATTTCTCAGTTTCCATCTTCCACCAGCTGGGCTTCGGGGTATCGGGAGGAGGGAGAATATACGAGAGGAGAGAAGGAATCTGACAGTTGAGAGTTAACTGGAAGTTGTGGTCCTTGGAACTGGGCCTTGATGCAGAGATTTGATGGGTGTGCATCAGGCGGTGATGGAGGAACAGAGAGGGAGGGGGGGAGCAAAGAGCTGGTGCCTTTGGGGACAACTTCACTCATCTGTTGGCTCTAGAGACGGATAGATGCAACAATTGCTCTTGGCAGATGCCCATCCATCCCTGATGAGGAAAACACTTGCCTGTTGCAGATAACTGATTTACACCAGTCATTTTTTGGGGGGGAAAATGGGAGGGGGGGAGAGACATGGCAGGAAGTCTGTTGGGAATGTGACGGCAAATTATCAACGGTTTTGTCCATCAGCAGCTATGGTTGGGTTCAAAATATTGGTTTATATGTTACGAGTCCCTCTGGGATAACAAGGGAGTGATGAGGCAAATAAGTGAAAAACCTCATTTCTCAGTATCTGCTTTTAAAACAAGCTCTTGAAACTCTACAGTCTTGTTGGCCAGACTGAACACTGGAGCCAGTTCGTTATAATGACAGATGGAAATGTAGGGTTTCACAATTCATTTAAGTCTGTAATCTGAAGCACCATGTATCATATAAATATGTGGCAAGATCCCATAAATGAGTCTTACCACATTCCTTTAAAAAAAACAAATTGAACTTTAATTTATGTCATTATTTATTCATTCATTCAGTTTGGCATCTTGACGAAAAATGGAAATGATGTGGGTGAAAAGCGTTGAGGGTTCATAATAATTTGCATTGTGTAGGATTCTTTTAACGGCCTTTGACTCAGAAGTGGCCCTGGCGACTTGCAACTGGGTTACATATTGCCTTCACAAGGTTACAGACTGTCTTTGCAAATACAAACAGCAAACTTAACCCATCTGAAAGATAGGTTGCTATGCACTCTATGCTGGTGCATCCTTTCATAACAAGAATTTTTAAACTGCAACTTTTGTTAACAATGCCAGATTTCTTGAACACTTCATTCCAACAATCAACTGATACCAACACTATTGTATAACATAAGAAAGCTCCACGTTCTGTCCCATTCAAAAAGCTCAAAACTGAAGTTGTGTGATTTATCCCTCATTTTGGTGGAGCAGGATTATCAAAAAGGGAGGCCAGAACTTTTCCCATACGCATGTGCCAGATACTGGGTTTTTGTGTCAGGGAGGGGGGGAACGTCCTCTATGTGCAAGATCTGTGACATGGATAAGTACCAAGGATAAGCACCTGCCAATCAGTGGTAGTGTGTTTCTGCCTGGGGCTTATTAAAAACAAAAGCTTCAGAAAAAATAATACTCATGAAAATCCAGGGACAGATCCAGAAAACAATGGCAGCAGCCTATAATGGCAATGATTGTTGTGACTCTTGCAAAGTCCCAGATTTTCCAAAAATGTAGGCCATTTCTCCCGCCGGTCCACATTGACAACGGAAGATGCATCAATGACAACATGCAGGGGACAGTGTAATGCAGAGATTAAGGAACCGGGGGCCTCAATTACTCTCAGCCCTTGGCTGCAGAGAAAGGGCTCGCGCACCGGCCCACGGGTTACGAAAAAGATCCCTTTTAACGATACGCTCATCAGCGTGATGATAACTGTATGCCTAGGATTCCAAGACAATAAACACAGCCATTTGGACACATCCATCAACGTCGATGTATCACAGGCTTAGGGCAAAGACAGCTGCCTCTAACTCGATATTACATCCCGAGCATGCAGAAACAAGGGGGTAGCTGATGGACTGCCTATTGCGTGCCCGTCGAAGAGCCAATGGTAACAGAGTGACGTTGTTCAAACAGGGGACAAAATTAAAAACGGAGCTGCCACTCGGCGGAGTCCGTCATCGCAATGCGTCACCTCTCGCGAAACTGCTGCTATCTTTCATTGCGCTGTGCATTCTTTGGGGGAAAATGTTATTTGGTGTTATTGTGGTTAAGTGTATCTTATCATTTCAGAAGAGGATGGGGGATATCGCGGTTTATTCCTGTGGTTTTTTTGGGGGGTAATCACGGATCCCACATTTGACAAGATTTGAGTTGAGTCATAGCTGGGCAGCCTTATCTGTCAACTCAGAGATTCCTGTCGGCACAAGGAAAATGGGAGATTTCAATTTGTCTGAAGTTCCCTGCTTGATACGGAAAAGCTACTACACACGA